TATAATTTGCAATGTACTAAATATATTAAATACTTAGGGGTAAATCTGATTAAAATATACAAGGTCTATACACAGATAGCTACAGAGCATTTCTGGGAGAAACAAAGAAGATCTAAATAAATGGAAATATATACTTGTGGGTATGTATATATGCTTGCGGATCAGAAGACTCAATATTAAGATGTCAATTTTCTTCAAACTTATATTCAGTGCAATCCTAGCATGTTTTTATTTTTATGAATTGACAAGTTGATTCTAAATTCACATGTCAATGCAAAGAATCTAAAATAGCCAGAACAATCTGAAAACAAAACAAAACAAAGTTGGAAGACTTATACTACCTAATTTCAAAACTCATTGTAAAGATACAGAAATCAAGGCAACATGATATAGGTATAAAGATAGACTAATATATTAAAAGAACAAATAGAGTCTAAAAATAGACCCACACATACTGATTAATTGCCTTTTGACACAGTGCAAATGCAATTCAATGGATAAGGAAAGTCTTTTTAACTAATAAGGCTAGTTGGACATCCATATGTGAAAAGTTGAACTTTGATCTATACCTTCCACCATATGTAAAAGTGATCTCAAAATGATTATAAATGTAGATGTAAAGAACAAAACAAAGCAGAAAACCTTTGTGAACTTGTGTAGGAAAAGGTTTCTTAGAGGATACTAAAAGAATGATCCATAAAAGAAAAAACTGATAAATTAGATGATCAAAATTAAGAACTCCTGACCTTTGATAGATATGTAAACAAAATGAAAAGAAATCACAGACTAGGAGACTATATTTTCAGATATCTGATAAGGACTTGTATCCAAAACATATAAAGACTTCTTAAAGCTTAATATTAAGAAAACAGGGAGTTCCCTGGCAGTCCAGCGGTTAGGACTTGAGCTTTCACTGCCATGGCCTGGGTTCAGTCCCTGGTTGGAGAACTAAGATCCTGTAAGCTGTGTTACATGGCCAAAAAAAATAGTGAATTAAAAAAAAAAACAAAAAATCACACCAAGATACCATTATACATCTATTAGAATGTCTGAATCATACCAGTTGTTGGTAAGGATGTGGAACAACTAGAACTCTCATGCATTGTCAGTGGAATGTAAGCTAGTAACAATCACTTTGGAAATAGTTTGGCAGTTTCTTAAAAAGTGAAGCATGCACCTACCACATGACCCAGCAGGGAAGGAGCAAAGGGAAGGATACAAAGCCATGAGAAGGCTTGTTGGGGTGAAGGGTTTACTCATTACCTTGACTGTTGTGATGGTTCACAGTTGTACACCTCTGCTGAAACTCATCAAACTGTGTACTTTAATTATGCACAGTCTATGATATGTCAATTATACCTTTCCTAATTGTTAAAAATGCTCACACTTCTCAGGAATTTTATCCTGAAGGAATAATGAATATAAAGCTCTATCTAAGGAACGTCTAACAGTGTATCATTGTAACAGTGAAAAGCTGTGACTAGTTGTTCTCCCATGAAAAGACTAGTTAAGCAGATGATGGATTCCTATGTAGTCTCTGAAAATCGTGTTATATGAGAAGAGTATTAATCACCTGAGAAAATGCTCAGAATATATTTTTAAGTGGAAAAAAGCAGATGACAGAAGTGAATCCATGCAATTGCTATGGAAAACAGTATGGTAGTTCTTCCAATAAAGATAGAACCACCATAGTATCTACCAACCCTATTTCTGGGTATATATCCAAAAGAATTGAAGGTAGGCTCTCTAGGTAATATTTGCACATTCATGTTCATAGCAGCTCCACTCACAATAGTCAAGAGGTTAAAGCAACCTAAGTGTTGATTGATAGATGAATGGATAAACATTTAAACAAAATGTGTATATATACATACAATGAAATGCTGTTCAGCCTTATAAAAGGAAAGAAATCCTGTCACTTGCCACAATCTGGATGCAACCTGAAAACATTATGCTACATGATATATGCTCCAAACCCTTTATCCTTTCTGCTGCCTAGAATGTGGGTAGAGATGCAACAGCCATATTGGACCAGAAGGAAAACTTGAGGATGGCAGAAGCAAGAGCTGAAAGGAGCCTGGGTCCCTGATTAGAAATAGAGATCTTTAAGCCTCTTTAGATCTTTTAGGTTATGTAGCAAAAGCAATGTTAACTGATACAGAATTTGAATACATGAATCAAGAATTCAGGACATTACTTTGGTTAGAAATAAAGGTTTGAGAGTTTTCAAAATAGAAGCAGTAGTAAAATTTCTGGGTGTGGATGAGATTGCTTTAAGGAGCGTATAGTGATAAGGGGGCAGAACTGAGAGAGCCTCAAGTAATATCAGCACTTAAAGGAGAGACGGGAGGGGATGCCAGGGAAGGGATCTGGAAGTGGGAATAAATCCAGGACAGAAGGTGTCCAGCACATTAGGCCCCTCTCCTTGAGGGCTGGGTCGGCAGTCCCTGATGTGTGCCCCTTGTGTACACAGCTCATGTGGAACTTCCTCTGCATAGTGCAAGCCTGTGTTTCCGTGTAGGCCTCCTGCGTGGGACCAGAAGGAAGCTCCTTGAAGTTCGGGGTCAATTGTTCGTCCTTTTTATTGTCCCACAGTGCCTACAGCAGTGACTGGCACGTTGTTGGGAAGGCAATAAATATTTGCAAGCGGAACTGAACTGAACTGCTGTTGGCAAGGAAGTCTCGGGAAGGGAGGGTTTCAGGAAGGAGGGAGTGGTCTGCAGGGCCAAATGTGGAGAACAATCGAGTAAGATAAGGCCTGTAAAGAGCCGGTGCCTTTTGGCTCAGCGTATCTGGCAATTATCTGACGACACTGGTGACCTTGGGGAGAAGTGTTTTCATGGGGACAGAGGGGCAGAAAACATCTGTGGGGCAGGGCGCCTGGGCTGCATGGCAGTGTGGAATGATGGCTGCTCTTGGGAAGACTGGGGGAGAAAGGAGTTTTATTTAATTTTTCTATTAAATCGAGTTGCAGCTACTGAGACCATGTGACTAGAACCCGTGCACTGCAATGAGAAGCCCCCACAGTGAGAAGCCCACGCACCACAACTAGAGAAAAGCCAAGCGCAGCAATGAAGACCCGGTGCACCCAAAAATAAAATAAAATAAAAAATGTGTTCTAGGTGGAGAGCAGGGAACCTTAGGAGAGAGCCTCCTTGTCCCCCCCAGGACCCTAGGCCCTCACCCTTCTCGGAGCTGATGACACAGGTCCTTATCCCTTGTGTGGTCCTTAGCTCCAGCTCTGTGACATCGCCAGCAGTGTTTTAGAAGCTAAGTCACTACTCACATCTGTTGACAACATAAAAAAGCGTAAACTATGTTTTCATGTTTTCTCCTGAACCCAAATCTAAGTTTCTAGGAAGCAGAGGCTGCTCGTGGACCACAATGTATCAGGTAGGTGCTCGGCTGATGCTGGCTGCCCTTCTTTCCTCTCCATCAGTGCTTCATGAAAACCATCTGAGCTTCAAACAGCACATATCAGCAAGGGCTGGTTCTCCGCTGGCCACTGACACAGCTTCATAACAACAGAGGGGCACCCCACCACAAGAAAGGAGAGACCCCTGAAGGCAGGAGGGCTGGCATGTCTTTCTCACGCCTCTGGCAGCACATGCGGGAAGCCCAGGCAGGGATGAGGGCAGGAGTTATGCATAGATTGCAGCATCATGAATGAAAGCCAGTGAGTTGACAGCATCCACCCACATGGCCAGTTTATTCCAGGTTCAAATAACACAATGATTTTATAAACCTGGTTTTTACATACTTCGATGAATCCAAGGCAGGGCTGCCTTCATCTTACAATAAACACACAGGTCTTTTGATAAACACAGGTTTTCTGGCTCACTCTGATAATTTGAGGAGAACCTGTCTTGGCAGATGGAAAGAAAAGACGGCAGAGTGGAGGCAGCTGGCTGCTCTGGTGGAGGAGAGGCTGGGGTCCCAAGTCAGCAGGACCAGGTTCAGTTTATCAAGGGCTCAAGGGAGGTGATGGACTCATGCTTTCTGGCTTATGGGAGAGTACAGCTGAATTCACTCATCTCAGACTTCAGTATGCATAAGTATCACCTGGAGGCAGGGGAGAGGAGGTGAAAAATCTTAAAATGTAGATTCTGAGTCAGTACGGCTTGGGTGTGGCCTGAGACTCTGCATTTCTAATCAGATCCCCTTGAGTAGCAAGGATATAAATCAGAGGGCAATTTTGGTAAACTTTAGGCACCTGTCACCACGCATCTCCTAACATCCAAAGGACTGCTCAGGGAGCACAGTGGCCGTGTCTTCCAGATGTGCTGGGCTTCATGGGGGCCACACGCCTTTCTGATCACATCTCCCATCTCCCCAGGTTCTCAGTGGCTCAGGTTACACATTTCTTCACTTAAGTTCCTGGCCTGATTGGAGACCTGGATACTGTGAGTTTCTGTGTCCCGGGACTTTGCCAGTGATTCATGTGGAAACCAGCTCCACGGATGAGTGTCTTCCTCAGGGTTAACCTGGTCCTTTCTGGTTGATCCTTTCCAGTTTTGTTATCTGAGTGTCTCTTCAAGGGCTGGGATGCACTGGCCATGGTGCTTACATAATAAATAAGAGGAATGCAACTCAGAAATAAATAATCCTATCTGGGAACCAGACAGGAGGTGGTAAGAGGATGGGGATATGCTCAGGGAGCAGGCTGGTCAGCGAGTGGCGGCCACACTCACCTGATGCCTGATGTACCTGCCCAGACCTTGCTGAGCTGCATCCCAGATCCTTGTTCGGGGGACCTGAGCTACAGACATGGACTTAGCCTGGCATAACACTGGAGCTGGTTGCTCAGCAAGGCTGCCCAGTCTGGATCACAGGGTGAATCATCAGTCCTGGGGCTCTGAGTAGCTGCAGGGGGACTGCTGAGACCCCATCAGTTTTTTGTGTTTGTTGCTGAACAGACCAGAATGTCTCTAGTGTTCCATCTAGATCTTCGAGCATTACACTTCCTATTAATACAAGGCTTCATAAAAATGTTGCTGGGATGCACTGGCCATGGTGCTTACATAATAAATAAGAGGAATGCAACTCAGAAATAAATAATCCTATCTGGGAACCAGACAGGAGGTGGTAAGAGGATGGGGATATGCTCAGGGAGCAGGCTGGTCAGCGAGTGGCGGCCACACTCACCTGATGCCTGATGTACCTGCCCAGACCTTGCTGAGCTGCATCCCAGACCCTTGTTCGGGGGACCTGAGCTACAGACATGGACTTAGCCTGGCATAACACTGGAGCTGGTTGCTCAGCAAGGCTGCCCAGTCCGGATCACAGGGTGAATCATCAGTCCTGGGGCTCTGAGTAGCTGCAGGGGGACTGCTGAGACCCCATCAGTTTTTTGTGTTTGTTGCTGAACAGACCAGAATGTCTCTAGTGTTCCATCTAGATCTTCGAGCATTACACTTCCTATTAATACAAGGCTTCATAAAAATGTCACAAAATAAAATTGTCTATGAATATCACAAGAATACAATTGCCTTCACTTAAAAAAAACATTTTTCCAGAGAACGCAGAATGCTTCTCAAGTCCTCTGGTGCATTCCCCGAGCAGAGTGGAGCAGTGAGGGGAGGGTTTGGAGTTCCCGCTGTGAGTTCGAGATTACTGGTGAGCCAGCCTCTTCTATAAAGTCAGGCCGTGCTATTATCATCCATTCTTTAGGTGTATGTGGGCGCCTGTGGCTTTTGGAACCCCTTCCCTGCAGGGAAGGTTTTTAAAAATGCCAGTGGATATAAGGCCCCCATACATCCCTTTATTATTTTCCTTTATCTCTGTCTCTCTCAACTTCCCTTTTTAATTTTTTTGATAGAAAGCCCAGGCCAGCCATGCTGGAGAGCAGAGCCGGCTGTGTGGCTGGTCAGCCCTGGCGGGTTCTACACCTCTGATGCTAGAAGCAGACACAGGATCGGTGAGGTGCCCTGGGACTTTAGGGGGGACACTGGCTCTTCTGGCGTTTCCTCTCTACCGCCAGTCGTAAGGCCTGAAGGAGCTTGTCCTTATTATTCAGGATGTTATACTCGGAGAGCTTCACCAGCTTGTCGAAGGCGGCCTCAGTGTATGTCAGCTCCTTGGTGGCGTAGGGAGTTTTGGGACCGTAGATGTCAACCTGGCCCTGCTCCAGCTCCTCGGGGCTTCGTTCCACACCTGGAGGAGCAGAAGGAATCACTGTAGCCCTTTATGTGTGAGCTTGTAATGGCCTGTTTCTGGCCCTCTCTGCGAGGCCCACCCCAGCACATTCACAGGAAATCAGGCACATGTTGCACACTCACCCACGCACATGCGCACACACATCTCCCAGTCCCCCAGGGCAGGGACACAGCTTGCCCATCTCAGGATCGCCATGGTACTAGCACAGCTCCAGGCTGTGAATAACTGAAAGAATGGAATTGGACATCGCTGGGGCCTGGGGCCTGGGGGGTTGTCCTTTCTCGCCAAAGCCAAGGTTGGCTCAGACTGGAGCTAAGCCAGGCTCCCTCTGTTAGTGCTCTCGGAAGACCACACACATCTAAGAGCTCTCTGTCCAAGGTCGGGGGCGGGTGGGACCTGAGCTCACTGCGGCTTACCTGGGGCCTTGTAATTTTGGAAGGTGTCACAGATGAGTGGGAAAAAGGTCACGATGGGGGTGTCAGGCTCCTGGGAGTTCTCCAGCAGGTAGCACTCCTTGAGGTTATCCTCCTCCTGCTGCAGCTCGTATTTGAGGAAGGGGATGTTCTGCACAGTGCAGTACTCGCAGGTTTGCTTCATGGGCTAGAACATCACAGGAGGACACTGTGTGAGTATCAGGAGGGGTGAGGGCGGACCAGAAACACAGAGTTCTTAGCTCCAGCTTCCTGATTTCCCCAGCTAACAACTCAGGTCTCCCACTGCTTTGCCTATCTGTGCTATTTTTAGGACAAACCTGGGTCAGGATGAAGAGCCTGAGGCAGTAGGTTGGCGTGTATCCAACCACAAGCTCCTGCCCCAAGTAAAATGGACAGAAGCCCTTTTGATTATGCTTCACCCAAACACAGACCTGGAGATGTGGGTGCCCCCGGAGAGGATGACAGCCATGGCCGGCCAGGCTCCTGCGGGACATGCATGGGATTTGAAACTGACAAAGTGCCACAGGGCCAGAGAGAACTCTGAAAGGGCATGTTTATAAACATGATGTAACAAGAATGGCAGACTTTAACTCAGAGCAGTATCCCTTTCATTCTACTCCCTGTTCTATGTTCACCAGCTGTATGATCTTAAGCAAGCCACTGAACTCTCTCTCTGCGTCACCTCCCTCTCCTATAACATGGGAAGAACAGCAGTTACCATCTACCTCCAAGAGCTGGCACATCGATCAGATAAGCTTTGTTTACAAACTTCAGTCATTATCACTGGTGTCATCCTTGTCATCTGTCTACATGCCCCTTTCCCTGGCCTCAGGATAGGACTGTATTAAGGTAGACCCAAAACAGTGTCTTTCCCTTGAAAATCCAGAAATATTCAAAAGGAAATAAAATTTTAAAAAGTCTCTGGTCTTAACTCTTTGGTGTAATTACATGGAGGCTCATACTCTGGGGTGGGAGGAATCGTGTGATCATTTTGAAACTAGGATATTACAAACTCCTGGGGTGGTACAATTCTTTAGAATTGACTGGGCTCTATTAAGGTTATTTTTTAAAACTCTTTTTTTCTCTTTGCAGCTGGAAGAATTTCCAAATATGGGAAATACGTCAATGTAAGAATACAATTGGAATTAGCTTGGGGAATCTAGTAAACCTGGGTCCCGTCCAATGAGGGCCAGTGGGCTGCCCCTGAGGCTTGGATGTCTAGCCTGCATCATAACCTCCACCTAACCCCCTGCATAGTGGCTGGAGCAACTCTGATGCTAAGTGTAGGAGCCTGTGGGGAATGGGGCGGGAGCCTTTCTCTGCTGCACTCACCTTTGTCTGGGACCCAGCGCAGTAGTTAAGGTGGATGATGAGGTCAGCTTTTCTCTCCGGCCTGAGGAGGGGCGCATAGCTGGAGTTGACAAAGAATGCGGTGTCCAGCAGGCACAAGTGTTTCACAGATGCTGTCAGCTGGTTTGGGAAGCCGTCCAGCACCGTGTCTGAAAGTCAGGCTTCCAGTTATCCTCACTCCTCACCTCCTGATCTCAGCCGGTGGTCAAAGGCACCTGGTGCCCTGCCCGGAGCCCCTCTACTTCAGCCTGGCCTCCCACCCTACCTCCGCCAGGGTGCCCCATGAGTCCCAGTGCTCCTGCTGGGTGGCCTGAGGAAGAACGGTCTTATCCATGGGGTTTTAGAAAAAGAAAAAAAGCTATGGTTTTTCCAATAGTCATGTATGGATGTGAGAGTTTGACCATAAAGAAAGCTGAGTGCCGAAGAATTGATGCTTTTGAACTGTGGTGTTGGAGAAGACTCTTGAGAGGCCCTTGGACTGCAAGGATATCAAACCAGTCAATCTTAAAGGAAATCAGTCCTGAATGTTCATCAGAAGGACTGATGCTGAAGCTGAAGCTCCAATACTTTGGCCACCTGATGTGAAGAACTGACTCATTGGGAAAGACCCCGATGCTGGGAAAGATTGAGGGCAGGAGGAGAAGGGGATGAGATGGTTGGATGGCATCACCAACTCAATGGACATGAGTTTGAGCAGGCTCTGGGAGTTGGTGATGGACAGGGAAGCCTGGCGTGCTGCAATCCATGGGGTTGCAAAGAGCTGGACCCAACTGAGTGACTGAACTGAAAGGGTTTAGCAAGTCTTTTATGGAACATGCACAGAAAGTCCACAAAGCCTCAGCCACAGAGCTTGTGAGGAGCAGGCACTTAAGAGGATCCTATAAATGAGTGCAGACTGTGGACCAGTAGCCAGCTGCCCTTCCTGCCCCAGATGGGACAAAGATTATTAGGGCAGGCTCAAGCAGCCATATGCGGACCATGGCCAAGTAAAATACCAAAGATGGTGGAACGTCAACCTTAGAGCCTTGGCAGGGTGGGATGGGGTCTGGAGTGGAAGCTACCAGATCACAGTTTAAGATCCAGCTCTGCACTCACCATTAGGAGGATCTTGCACTGGGCTATCACCGCCCAACTCTGGGGGCCACGCCCACATAAGAGGGGCCCCCAGAATACAGCTGTAGAAAGTCAGAACCCATGCACTCCCCACCTATAAAATGGGGCCAATTTCTACCTGCTGGGGTTCTTATATAGATGCTATATAGAGATATAGCATAGATTCAATTAATTAAATAGGCCACTACTCCACCCACTGTTCAAAGCTTCACCAAATTCAGAATACACCATGGGGAGAGCCTGCCACTTGGCCGGATGAACGTGGGCAGACGTGTTTTCTCATCCTTTCTCCCTGGCAGCCTCTATACCCACTTCTCCTTCCTCCAAACAGAGGCAGCAGGTAGGGATACCTTTCCACATGGAGAACTGGCTGTTCTGGAGGTAGTCGGTATGCAGCTGCAGCCCCAGCAGGAAATTGTGGAACTTGGAGACAAAGGCCCTGTGGGTGAGGATGTCGCGGAAAGTGTTGGACAGCCAGGATGCTGGCGTCACCACTGTGGTGTCCAGGACGTTGGCATCACATTTGGGGATTTCAGGCAGGAGTGGCTCATCTTCTGCAGGGGAGGGGGAGATGGAGGTCACAGGGCTGGCGTCCTCAGACTGCCCAGGTGAAGCATTGCCTGGGTGCCCCGCACCCAGAGGTCCATCTGTAAGTGCAGTGCACACCTTTCTTGCTTAGTTCTCAAGGCTTTGGCATTAGAGCTAGGAGGACCCAGGGGAGAGACATGCAACAGGAATAAGGTAGTGGAGAGGGAGCCAGGGTGATTGGCAAGGAGGAGTTCCTGAGAGGACAGAGTCCAGAAGGGCAGCCTTTAACAGCATTCATACATCCCCATCCTCTTCAGCTTTCCTGGGTGCCGTGCAGCTCTGCCAAGTCTACTACACGGTGCATCCCCCTACCCCCCGCCCCAGCCAGGCCAGAGCTGGCACAAGTGTATCCACCGACAGTCACCTGCCTCTCCAGGCAGGGGAGACTCTCTAGCCCTAGCTGCCTGATGATGAAACATGTGGCAGGTGGTCTGGTCAGCAGTTTGTGACCCACCTCCCCACCCCTATTTCTCCCAACCAAGAGAGGAGGCTGACAGATCACCCACCAATATCATGCACTCTATCCCTTGTCCACTTGTGAAAAAACTCCTCCGAGGTGTGGGATAGGTTCCAGGCGTCAAGCAGGTTCAGAGAGAAGATGCTACTCCACAAACCTAGGGGCAGGACCAGTCATGAGCAGCTCTGTCCAAGAACCTCCAGGCCCACCCAAACTTTGGCCTTGATGACTCTCCAAGTCAGGATGCTCGGGGAGAGGGACAGGCTTTGACTTCCCTCTCCTTGCGGAGCAGCTCAACATAAGTGACTCAGCTCTTTTCCCCTCTCCTCTTGGAACTGGGAGAGGGCAGTTGGGGCTTCCCAGGTGGTCCAGTGGGTAAAGAATCCACCTGCCAACTCAGGAGACGTGGATTAGATCCCTAGGTTGGAAAGATCCCCTGGAGGAGGGCATAGCAACCCACTCCAGTATACTTGCCTGGAGAATCCCCATGGACAGAGGAGCCTGGTGGGCTGCAGTCCATGGTGTCGCCAAGAGTCAGCCACAACTGAACAACTGAACTGAACTGATAAGGTTGGTTTTACTCTTAAGCTCAATTTACAGATGAGAAAATTGAAGCTCAGGAAGATTAGGTAAATTGGCCAACTTTGAGCAGCTAATAAATGAGAAGCCAGAGTTCATGCCCCAGTGTCTTACCTACAGACCTCTGAGCCACATACTGGATAGCAAAGGTGTTCAGAGAAAGGAGAGGCTGCTGGGGGCTGCGGGCTTCGGGGCGGACCTCCCTTAAGAAACAGGGCTTAAGTGGGACTTTCCAAGAGGGCTGGATTTGGGATAGATGGAAGGGAGGGGGAGGCAGACAACCAGCCTAAATAAGGGTGTAACTCTTGTTGAGGCTGTAGAGATGGGTCTGTTTTCTGCAGTCTCCCTTTGATGTGCATAGTTCAGGCTCTGAAAGGGATGATTCTATAAGTGGACGTCACAGTCAGGCCCTTGCACTAGATGGGCCTGCCTTCTGGAGGACCTGGGAGCATAGTGAAACTGGGCAAGGCTTCCCCAGAGACTCTGTCTTCACCCTAAGGTCCCCTCTGGTCTCTTAGATCCCAGGGGCTGAGTCAACACCTGGAAACAGGCACGTTGCTGCCTGGAGATGGAGATGGAGGAAAGGGGCAGAAGTTCCAGAAGCTTCCATCTTAGTCTGCTACTCCCAGTCTGGTTCTGAACAGACACCAGGGAGATAACTGAGACAAAGACATTGGGAGAGTCCCCTTTGGTCCCCAGTGACGCAGGGACCCTGTTAGGTCCTCTGGGCCCAAAGGGTCACAGGCAGATCAGGGCAGTCTGGGAGGCTAGTTTCAGGGTAGGTCAGGAGCCTCTCTTGGGAGGAGGATGGTGACAGATGCCAGGAGGGTCATATGTCCAAGGAATAACCCACACTAGCCCCCGCACCTGGGACAAGATCCTAGGGGAGACAAGAGTGTTTGTTTGTTAGTCCTCTAACCAAGGCGGAGCCTGTTCAAAATGGGGCGGGGTTCCCAGGGGCCTCCCCCAGCCAGGAGTCACCTAGCATGTAGCACATCCGCGACTCTGGGATCCTCTTCATCAGCCGCCCCATGAAGAACTCGGAGCCGAAGAGCTCTGTGGGGATGAAGGCTCCATACTTCTGCATGCCCACCTCGTAGGGGGAGAACTCGAACCACTCTGCACACGAAGAAGGGCAGATGTCAGTCTCCTGCCGGGACGGCCCCGCCCACCCTGCTTCAAGGAGCCTGGGACCTGGAGGCCGCAGTTCTCCTGCACGACACAAGGGGGCGCCCGTGGCCGGCTTCTGAGGGCCGGTAAGAATTTTGCAACCTGTACAGGCTCATTTGCTCCTCAAAATGGGATAAACCAGGACCAAAAACGGACCCGGAAGCAGGGCAGGTCTCTAGAGTCCCTCCATCCAGCAGCTTAAGAAATATCTAGAATTCTTTCCCTTGACGACTTTTATTTCCTCTGTCCCGTCATATCTCTCTCTGCTCAGGGAAACCCCAGGACCCTGCCACCCATCCCCTACATGCATCTGAGCAGAAGCAGGGAGCAAAGTGGATTTCTTCAGCTGTCAGCACAGTATTTTGGTGCGGAGGTTGGCAAAGGTGTGGTGGAGAGGTGTGTGCTGGGGGTACTGAGTGCTTTTGCCTGCTGAGAAGGGACCCCTTCGTAAAATTGCTAGTCACCAGTGTTACCTCTGAAATCCTGGTTGCTTACATCATCCTTGACATTGATGGTGAGGTAGATGGGCAGGGGGTTCTGGCCCTGGCACAAAGCAGCGCGCTGATCTGACAGTTTACATTCATTTCTCTGTAGGGAAAAATAATGGTTAAGGGGAAGAAGACCAGCTGCCTGGAAGCAGGGCAAAATAGAGAACAGTCTGGACCTCTGGCAGCCCATTTCCTGGCTCCTGAGCCCACCAGGCTTCTGTGGAGGTCTCAGCTGACACCAGCCAAACCTGCTCTGAAAATGCACCCAGAGAATGCTCACTAGTCCTTGGGCTGTTCACCACCCCGGACACACAGACCCAGTGGGAGTGGGTCTGCAGTTTAGGGCTGACCCTCAGAGTCCCAGGGTTCTCCTCGTGTCTCAGGGACCACAGAATGAAAACGTAGGGGTAGAGGAGGCCACCACTGCCCTCCTTCATCCTCATCATCTTCCATCCCACTCAAACTAGACCAGCTCCATTAAAAACAAGAAATCTGCTTTGCATGTTGGGATCTCAAATTTGTTTGAGAAGAAAAAAAAGACTTTTCTTTTTTAAAAACAAAAGGCTTGGAAACTGGGCACCAGATGGCAGTCAAGTTCCAAGTCCCCAAAGCACAGTGCAGTCTAATCAGAGTGGGTGTCCTGCAGATCCTCCTAGACCATAGGCCACCTCCCAAAGTGAATCAGCCTGTGTAGACAAGGCCAGGCTCTAACCCCAGACCAAGCAGCTGCCTGATGGCTGACATCCCTGGTTGTTCAAGTGTGTGAAGACCATGGAACCTGTATGGAATGGTAAACACATGTGTGGGTCAAACAACTGTTGTTCAATCACTCAGATCCCATGGACTGCAGCATGCAAGGCTTCCGTGTCCTTCACTATCTCCCAGAGTTTGTTCAAACTCATGTCCATTGAGTCGGTAATGCCATCCAACCATCTCATCCTCTGTTACCCCCTTCTACTCCTGCCTTCAATTTTTCCTAGCATCAGGGTCTTTCCCAATGAGTCAGCTCTTTGCATCAGGTGGCCAAAGTATTGGAACTTCAGCTTCAGCTTCAGTCCTTCCAATGAATATTCAGGGTTCATTGGAAGGACTGATGAAAGCCTCCTTTGAAAGGCCAACAGGATACCTATCACAACTTGGTCCAGAGATGCAGGTACCATGGAGCTGACCATCCTGGAAGGAGAAGACATTGCAGACTCAGGGAAGAGCCCAGTCCACACTCACTGTCAAGGGGTCCTGAGGGAAAGGGGCCCCTGCCTTGGACAGAGTGGAAGAGCAGAGGCCTCCTCCCTTTAACCCTAGACTTGCTTTCCTGGAAACCTCGTCTCCTTCCCACACCAAACCCTGGACGATGCTCAGACTTCTAATGTCAAAGGCCTTGGCACATTCCTCCTCATCACATGGGACAGTAACCACTGTTAGAAATACTAACTACCACTTAGTGATGAAATCCCCATTCAAGGAATAGCACAGAGCAGAGCTAGAATTCAAACCTTGTCCTGCTGGAAAAAGCCAACACCCTCAGCCTCTGCCTGCCCTTTTCCATCATGGGGACAGAGTAGATGGTGGGTTACCAAAAGGGGCAGGGATCCACTGAAAGCTGTAAGGGCCCTAGTTGCAGGAGGTTCTTAATTTTGTTGTAAGAATGAATGAGGGAATGAATGAATGTTGAAGATGAGATTTGGGCCATCCTTGGTTGCTCAAATTTTCTGTGTTTTATGGAAGAGGGGGTCTACTAGAAAATAATTTGCTGTTCCTCTTCCTTCTGGCAAGTTCTTATTTGAATTCAGAACTCTTCAGACGCCTTCAGGAATGGGGCAGACAGTCCTAGGCCCAAATAGAAATTAGGTGGGAAGCCCTATTTTGGCATCAAGCAACAGCCAAAATTGGTTCCTCCCTGGGGCCCATGCCGTCAGAAGTGTCCAGGTGGTAGCTGAGCTCACTGCAATGTCTGGGTCCACAGCATCCCATGGGCATCCCACTGCCCCATCATGGCAGACATGGCTCTCATAGCAACTGGGTCTTAGTCCAAGTAGGTTCTCTTCATGAGCACACATTGCTCAGATCACTGGGTAGCAGAGCTGGAAGGAACCTCCCTGAGCTCATCCTCTGTGTGGTGGCCACGAGAAGGGGCCCAGGCCGTGACCGAGTGCAGCAGGGATCCTGAGTCAGGCCCATTCTGTGGGGGGTGGGCTGCCAGACTCCTCTGACAGCCAGCTTGGCTGGAGGACTCTCCAAGGGACCACATAGTGGGCTAGGATGCTTCCACCCAGCCTTTCTTCCCTCTCTCTTCCACTTGGGGTCAGGCTTGTATCACAGTCTGACAGCTCCCTCCCCATTTTCTCACAGGTTCTCAGAGGAAAGCTGCCTCTCTGCAGGGCTGCACCAAAGCCACCCCCAGGGGAGGGGCTCAGTCATATTTAAAAGGATGTGGGAAGACAATCCCACCATCTTCCTCCATCATGCATTGTGATGCCTCAAGCTTCTTACAGCCCAAGGATGCACCCACACGCAGGCCTAACTCCCTCACTCTGTGACATATCTCCTGATGCCCTGATGAAGGCAGAAGTCTGGGCATCAGCCCCGGGCAGGTTGGGCCCCCAGGGAAGCTGAGCACCTACCTCATCCCCCAGACAGGCCTCAATCAGCAGGCCCCAGAAGTCTGTGAAAGTGACCTTGTAGCCTTCCTGCCTGCGCTGCTGGAGCTCCTCCTGGAATTTGAGGAGCTGGTCTGGGAACAGGGCAGGCATCTTGTCCTTGACCGCGTGCCTCCGTGCCTCAAAGATGGCATGCTCCAGGTTTTTGGAGGACCAGTCAGGGTCACGGTACAAGGTGGCCATGGTCCTGCAGAGAGACAGACATGGCTGATAGAGCTGAGCCAGGCCTGGTCTGATGGACCCTGGGCTCTGGCAGGAAAGAAGGTGGGCAGGTCATGGGAAACCCTCACCCACCAGGAGAGGAGCCTGGAGGAAAGGGGATGAGGCCTGGCGGGGAAGGGGAGAACAGTCTCTTACTCAGCGTCACAATTGCTGCCATTTCTCGACTGCCTGTCAAGTGCCAGGTGAAGTACATTGTTTAACAGTGAGGATTCTGGGCCCAGGTCTGCCTGGGTTCAAAACCAGACTCTGCCACTTACCAGCTGTGTGATCTGGGCAAGTTACCTACTTGCTCCTCACCTCAGTTTCCCCATCTGTGTGGACTTGGGGAGAATGATGATAACTGTACCTACCTCACAGTGTTACTATGAAGATAACATGAATTAATGTAAAATGGTGAGGACAGTACCTGGCCCGAAGTAAGTGGTGGGCCATAGAGTGGTGGGGCCAACATTTGGCCTTGTGTTTGTGTGTGCTAAGTCACTTCAGTTGTGTCTGACTCTTTGCAACCCTGTGAACTATAGCCCACCAGGCTCCTCTGTCCATGGGATTCTCCAGGCAAGAATACTGGAGTGGGTTGCCATGCCCTCCTCCAGGGAATCTTCCCAACCCAGGGATCAAACCTGCATCTCTCACATCTCCTGCATTGATGGACAAGTTCTTTACCACTAGCACAACTGACCCCAGGGTTGGCAGATTCCAAGTTCTAGACTCTTTCTACTCTGTCACATTAATTTCTATAATTATGATGCCAGCTAAAGATTCATTTCCCCTTTTTCTTCTTCTCTGTGGGCAGTGGGGATGAGTAGAACAAAGATGGAGATCCCCCAGCCCTGGGGCTTTGCCTCTGTCTGCCTCTGCTTGGCCCGGACACAGCTCTCTTCAGCCTAGGTCAGGACAGCACCCAGATCCCTCTCCCCATGGGGATCTGGCCTACAGCTGCCCAACTGTCTGAGCTGTGGCCTCTGCCCGCAGGAGATTTCTTCAACAAAAAAGTACCCTGTTCTCCATTAATTTCACGCAGTTACTTTTATACTTTTAAAAAGCTTTCAAAGATGTTGCAAAGGATTGATTTTGTTTTTTAAAAACTCCTTCCCAGCGCTTTCCCAGGCCAGGAGACACCCCACCCCCACCCCCACCCCAGTATGGCCTGGGTTCCTCCGGGTTTCCTGCCTGATCCAGAGGTAGGCCAGGAGAAGGCAGACACTCCTCTACTTCGATGCAAGCAGGTCTATCTCCTTAGCTCACTTCCCACGGGCAGCAGTTTATCAGTGAGGATTGAGAATGTAGGCCCTGGACCTAACCCGGGTTGAAATCCCAGCTCAACCACTCATTAGCTGAGTGACCTTGGGCCAATCCCTTCCTTTCTCCAACTGTAAAATGAGCATAATGGCAACATCTTCCTCATAGTCTTCTTGCTAAGAAGAAATGAGAGGGTTCATGGGAAACAGTCTCCCCGGGACTCGGTGTAGAGGCAATGCCAGTAATTGTCAGCTATCCTCTGTCCCCTCTGGGCTGAAGCCTCGGGCCTCTGGTGTACCAGGAACCCTTAGCTTTCCTCACATCTGTCCACTCAAATGAAAGCTACCCAGAGTCCTCCAGGATAAGGGGCACAGTTTGGGGCATGGAAGGTTCTGGGGCTTACCAGTTCCCACAGAATAAGACACAACCCTGGCTGAGAGGTTCTGGGCTGTCATGAGGCCTGGGTCACCCTAGACCAGGGCTGCATCATGACTTTGGTGGGCCCCTTCCACCATAAAAAATAGTAAAAAAAAAAATTACCTTTTATGACTGTTGTGTAAAGACAAATATAGTAATATTATTTATTAAAACATTTTCTTCAACCTAGAGTTTCTTTTTGTTTTTCCTGATCTTAAAAGAAATTCGCACATTTTTGTGCCCCGCCCCCCGCCACGGGCATCTGTGTAGAAGCTGTCCTCGTGTTGGCCTCTCCTGTGGCAGAGCCGAGGGCTCACGTTACTGCTCACCGGCAAGAGTGAGGAGCCGGGAGCCCAAGGCGGCCCACGGGGCAGAGGGAGCTCATGGGGCGGGCTGGGCCGCAATGTGGGCAGCCAGAGCAGCGGGGCGAGCTCCACCCACCCCAGGAGACTTGCACGGTCGGTCTGAGAGAGGACAGCTGCCTCTCCCCGGCAGGATGGGGTCGGTGGCAGCATGGGTTCACTCATTGTTGGCCACCACACTGCTGGGCCCCTGCTGTAGCAAATGGAGTCACGGCCAACACATGTCCTTTGTGTATCCAGTCCTGGGAGAGCATCTCGCAACAACCCCACGAGGTCAGAGCTGTTACTTTCCCCACTTCACAGCTACAGAAAATGAGACTCGGAGAAGTTAAGCTGTATGCCCAAGGTCACACAGCTGTGAGTGGTGTCAGGTGTCATGAATCACTCTATCTTGGGGTGGAGGAGCTTCACCAGAGACCCCCTCCTCCTGGCCAACCTGTTGGCTGCTTGCTCTGGGCTTCACTAGACACTGGTCCCCGGCTCCTTACCAGGTGGCCCCAGATAGGCCGGTGATATAGCTGGCACAGTTCAGGATGTTCAGCTTCTGCAGCGCCAGCAGGTGGCCATACATGGCGGTCATAGATCTTGTTCCACCCCCAGTGGCCATGATGGCTATCAGCGGGACCTGGGGGCACATGGAAGCAGGCTGTTGGAATGAGGCTGGACAGGAGAAGACTTGGAGTGACAGGAGCTTAGAAAGAACAGTGGAGGAGGAAAAGCAGGCTATAGAGAGCAGGGGCGGGGGGAATTGAGTAAACTGAAAACTGTTTTCAGAGTGTCAGGCTACTTGGTACGTTTAGAGCTGGACCTTAGCTCTAAACCCAATGGTTGGTGTCAGGCTTGGTAAATCAGAAAGTCACATAGTAGCTCTTAGCACTGTGAATCTGGCCCTCAGTTAACAGAGGATGAACTGGGGCCAGAGGCCTGGGTGACTTGCTCAAAAATCCAACCAGTGTGTGATTCTTTAATGGCTNATGAACTGGGGCCAGAGGCCTGGGTGACTTGCTCAAAAATCCAACCAGTGTGTGATTCTTTAATGGCTGTAAATCAGTATCTGCTATAAGGGGACTTGATGTTAAAGCACCAAGGCCAGGCTCGCACATGATATGTGCTCAGAATAAACAGTATGTGTAGGAGCAGGAATCGATGGATTTTTTGATATGGGAAGGAGCAAGGTTGTCACCTGTGGGCTTACATAGGTTTAAGATGCTCTTGGTGTGTTTCCCTACAGATGGGAGAGGGAGGTGTGGGGTCTTTACCAAGACTCGCTTTGTTTTCATTTGAGTGGGGATTGTGAGAACTACTGTCAGCCGAAGCCCCATCACAGCCGTCCTAAGTGACGAGGTCTCTGGCCACACCAGTGGTTAGCCTCAGAAGGGGAAGTCTCGGAGGGCTGACTGCTGCTCAGGGGAGTGTGGGCCTCAGCCCACACCAGGGAGATGACAGAGGGCACAGAGGCACTGTCGTCTGCTGTGTGCACAGAAGCTGGCCCTGCACGCGAAAGCTGCTTCTCTTCAGTCCCAGACTGCGGTTCATTCTCTGTGTGTGTGCGCGCATATGCACACACATTTGGGGGAAGGGAGAATTAAAGAATGAAGGGCCTACAGCTTATGGAGGAGGTGTGTGGCATGTGTGAGCTAGGGGAGCTCTCAAGTTTTCCCTGGCTGGGAAAAGGAGGCCACAAGGTCCCGGGTAGCTAGGACATCACTCATTATCTTGGGAGGTCAGTGCAGGGGAGGAGCTGCTGGGCTCCCTCTTTTCCTTCTACTCTACCCTCCCTGCCCCTGTGAATGCACAACTGAATCACATCCTACAGTGATGAAGCACAGCCCTCACTTGGGCACCTGGAACCTTGGCACTAAGGACCACGGGAAAGGCAGTGCCGCCCTGGGGCATGGGAGGGATCGCAGGGCCCAGCCGGCAGGCACGGTTTGGAAGGACAGGTTTGACTTGGAGCGGACCTCTTCTCACCCACCTCATCTGCCCGCAGATCCTCCTCCAGCTGCAGCACCTCCTTCAGCGCCTGGGCCACCACCACCCTCCGTTTCTGCAGGAACTCCAGTTCTGCCTGGCACAGGCTGAAGCCCAGCCGCACGTCCAGTGCCTGGGAACTATGGGGACAGAGGACCTTGGCTGAGCGGGCCTGTAGATTCCATCTCCATGGAGAGGACATGGCTTTAGGGTCAGTTGGACCTAGGCTTGAGGCCTGGTTCTGCCAGGTGTCACCTCTGTGACCTTGAGCCTCTGCTTTCTCATCTGTAAAATGGGGCTAATCGTGCTTGACTCCCGACACTTAATGAGCCACCAAACGTAAAGCACCCAAAACCTTAACTGGTGCACTGTGAGCAGGTACTTAACACTATTAGGTATTCATTGAACCCTTTGCTCTCTCAGTGAGTTCTGGAAAGTGCTGGAAGGCGTTTCCCAGGCACCTTCTAGAGCCTGAGACCAGACATGGGGACAAGGGTCCTTGAGACCCTTTGGGCCAATCCTTCTGAATAAGGCAAGGGCTTCCCAGGTGGTTAGTGGTAAAGAACCTGCCAATGCAGAAAATCCAAGAGATGTGGGTTCAATCCCTGGGTCAGGAAGATCCCCTGGAGGAGGAAATGATAACTCACTCTAGTATTCTTGCCTGGGAAATCCCATGGACAGAGGAGCCTGGAGGACTGCAGTCCTTGGGGTTTCAAAGAGTCAGACATGACTGAGCACACACATACATACTCACACACACACTTCTGAATAAGGCTGTACCATAAGGGCTCTCCTGAGCTGGATAAACAAGGCCCTGTTCTCATGGCACTCATATTCCTTTCTGCTCCCAGAGTAAGCCTCCCCCTTCACACTCTTGCTGTAATCCTGTCACCCCTACAGGTCTACAAGGCGGCTGGGGCAGAAGAAGCATGTCCAAACACTTGTCCTCTTTTTATCATGTCCCTGACCTGAGCAAGTCCAGGCTTATGGCCTGGCATCTAAGCCCTACCTGATCTGTACAGCCTCACCTCCTGCTACTTTCTCGAAGGGTCTGTTGGCTCCCAGAGCCCAGGAGCAGTGTGGGTCCTGAGCCTCCTTCCTCTGCCCACCAACATCCCTTGCATCCTCCAAGTCCCCAGGCAAATGAACCTTGACAGTTTCTGACCTGAGTCTTAGTGACCTGCATAATTAACAAGGTCATATCTCCTTGAAGGCAGAATCTGGGGACTGTCCCATCCGTTCCGTCTGTGTCTAGTACAGGCCTGCAGACACAGCTGTCAGGAAATTTTCCCTTGGTCTCAACAAGGAATGAATAATCAAACAGCAATAATAATAACATTAGTTGATATTTTCGGACTGTTCCACTTCTCAGATCACTGATTTCCTCACATGTGTTGTCTCACTGGATCCTCAAAGCAACCCAACCATGGACTGTGCCCTTGGTATTGCTGTAATTTGCAGATTAAAAAAAAAAATGAGACTTAGAGGGGCTTAATAACTTGACCGAGGACAAAATAGCTGTCAGACTGTAACTGGAAGCAACAGTCACTTGATCTTCAACAAGGGTGCCAAGACAATTCAAAAGGGAAAGAATCATCTTTTCACCAAATGATGCTGGGACAATGGATATCCATATGCCAGGAGTCCAAGAGTGAAGTTGGACCCCTATTTCACAATATATATTCACATATATACAAGTTAACTCAAAATCAATCATAGACTCACATGTGAGAGCTAAGACTATACAACTCTTAAAAGAAAACATGGGAATAAGTCTTCATCCTTGGATTAGTCAATGGTGTTTTAAATATGACACCAAGAGCACAGGTGGCAAAGGAAAAACATACATACACTGAAATTCACCAAAACTGAACATTTCTGTGTTTCAAAGAACACTATGAAGAATGTGAAAGACAATCTTCAGAATAGGAAAAAATATTTAGAAGTCGTGTATCTGACAAGGGGCTTGTATCTAGAGTATACAAAGAAATTTTACAAGTCAACAATAAAAGGCAAATCACCCACTTTAAAATGGGCAAAAGATCTGAATAAATATTTCTCTCAAGAAGATACACGAATGGCCTGTAAGCCTATGAAAAGATACTCAACATCACTGGCTATCACTGAAATGCAAGTCAAAACCACAAGATACCACATCCTTAAAGAGAAATGAGTCAGAGGGACAGACAGAAAGAGGGTACTTTACCAGGGTGTAGACTTCATGTGTAATTCACAGTTCTCATTCTGGGAAGTGAAAGATGAAAAGTTTGTCAGGGATGACCAGTTTAGAGCCAAGAGTTCCCAACCAAAGAAGTGGAGGTCTCACCACATTGTTCACCCCGACCTGCCTCCGGACATATGCGTGTGCGTGTGCGCGCACACACGTGTTCTCTTCTGGACATGACCCTCCCCACCATCCTGGACTCAGCCTCCACACACTGTCTTTGGCTCCACACTGCAGCCCAGCAGTCTCCTACCCCACAAGACTCCTCTACCCCACCAGGAATCATCCTCCTCCACGGCCCCGCAGGTTCTCCCCCTCTCCTTGTCGCAGGAGCTCCAGGCTAAGCTGGGCCGCTTCCCAGACCCAGGCGCTCACCACAGGCAAGGTCACCGCCTCGTCGTCGGGGAGGCAATGGAGCGACTGGCACACAGGGTCCTTCTGGCGTGCACAACAGCAGAGCTGGGAGGAGGGCAGGTGTGTGAGGGGAGGGCCTCCTCCCGCTGCCCACCTCTCCCAGTCCCCTACGCCCCACACCTCTCCCAGTCCCCTACTCCCCACACCTCTCCCAGTCCCCTATACCCCCCACACCTCTCCCAGTCCCCTACCCCCCACACCTCTCCCAGTCCCCTATACCCCCCACACCTCTCCCAGTCCCCTACCCCCCACACCTCTCCCAGTCCCCTACCCCCCACACCTCTCCCAGTCCCCTATACCCCACACCTCTCCCAGTCCCCTATACCCCACACCTCTCCCAGTCCCCCGCCCCCAACATACTTCTGCAGCCCCTACCTCACAGATCCACGGGCTCTTGGGCAACTCCACGTGCACCTCGGGCTGGAAGTGCTTGGGGTACTGGAAGTAGGCGGGGTTTGAGCCGCAGGGCTCCAGGCTGGGTGAGATGCGCTGGGTGTGCTCGAAGGACTCCGTCACTGTCACCAGGAGGTCCTTCTCTGGAAGAGAAGACGAGAGGGCTGAGACCCCCAGGAAGCCTCTTGCTCCCCACCCTCACGTGGCCCACTAAAAGGCCTAGCTAGAGGCACCCGGGATAGGGGTTTAGAATGACCAAGGCACTGGTTAAAATGCCCCAGGGCCTTGTTCTGAAGGGCAGGGCAGGGCCCTAGAACCTACATTTCACCAGGCTTGTGCATGAGATCTGAGATGCTGAGTCCTCTGGACTAATCCTCCTTCTTCTCTGCAAGGTGCCCCCAAATCACCCTCCCACTGCACTGGAAGCAGCCCCCCTTTCTGCCAGTTTGGGGGTAGAGCCTCTTCCTCCCCCCCACCCCCGACCTGTGGGGCTCTGAGGCTCTCCTCTTTACAGGCAGGGCTTGAGTGGCGGGGATGCGATGGAGCGCTGAACTGGAGGGTCTCGCAGTTGTGGATGTTAGGTCTCTGTCAGCTATAAGATGCTAGAACTCTATGAACTGGAGTCTGATGAGAGGAAGTGGTGCATCTAGAGGGGCCCTACCTGCCTTGGGTGCTGACCACCGCACTAGACCCAGGTAATCCCTGGTCTGACAGGCTGCAGCTCAGATCAGCATGGGCAAATAGGCAGTGCTGTGCCCTTGATCCCTGGCCCAGGGCGCTGGCCAGGCTGGGAAGCTCTGAGGGTCACCTGGGGGCCTGGAAGAGCAGCCTCCTTTCAGGGCAGTGGAGGGGGACAGGGGTTCACAACCCCTGAGGGTAAGATGATCCCGAGGACTCAGCCAAGCTTTGGGTTCCCCATTGAGCTTAGGGCGGCCATGGAGCAGCCACTCTGATGTTGACAGAGTCAGAAAACAGCACTGCTCCTCCCTCCCACCCCCCAGCAGGCAGAAGCGGTCGAAGGGCTCACTTTTCCACTTCTTTGGCCTCCTGGATTCTGCACAAACCTCCAGGCAGGACATTTGTCGAGACTGAAACAAAGGAACGGGGGGGTCATTTTGAGCCCAAGCTGCCTGGGATGCTCTACCAGGCCACACATTCCCAGAGACTGATCTTGCGGGGAGAGAGCTTCTTGAATCCTGACGCTTTAGCTGCATTGAATTAAAATGGCTGTACTAACAGCCTAATTATGGGAAACTTCTAACTTCTGAACTTATACTTTTAGGGATTGGAGTTGGGGGAAAATGGGACAAGACTGATTCTGGGAGGAGGCTGCAGACTAGTGGGTGCTTTTATTGGGGGGTTCCTAGGACATGGTTGTGGGAGATGGGGTGATGGCCCAGATATTTTCTCCCCAGGAGCAGGAGCCAGCTGTTGCCCCCACCATGACCTGGCTCCCTTTGTCTGGCTTCAGTTAGCCTGCCTCCTAGTGGGCTCTGGGGCAAGGGTCCAAGTTGGGCCTGGTTTTCCTTCCCACAGTTCTGTTCTCTGAGAGCAGCGGCCACAGGTGGCCCTAGAACCACAGGAGACTGGAAGGACAGTTACCACCAGCACGCCGTTCGTGATGAGGCTCTCAGGTGGAGAGGGGCTGAAAAACAAAATGAGAACTCCTGGTCAGTCTTGTCATTCTTTTTTTTTTTTCCAAAGCCTATTTTATTGAAGTATAGCTGAGTTACAACATTGTGTTAATTTCCACTGTATAGCAAAGTGATTCAGTTATACACACACATATGTATATATTCTTTTTCAAATCAGTTCAGTTGTCGTCAGTCATGTCCAATTCTTTGCAGCCCCATGGACTGCAGCATGCCATCACCAACTCCATCCTGTCCATCACCAACTCTATCACCAACTCCATCATCATCACCAACTCCATTCTGTCCATCATCAACTCCCAGAGCTTGCTCAAACTCATGTCCATTGAGCTGGTGATGCCATTCAACCATCTCATCCTCTGTCATCCCCTTCTCCTCCCACCTTCAATTTTTATACTATCAGGGTCTTTTCCGATTAGTCAGTTTTTCACATCAGGTGGCCAATGGATTGGAGTTTCAGCTTCAGCATCAGTCCTTCCAATGAATATTCAGGACTGATTTCCTTTAAGATCAACTGGTTGGATCTCCTTGCAGTCAAAGGGACTCTCAAGAGTCTTCTCCAACACCACAGTTCAAAAGCATNTTGGCTTATGTACTATTGAAGCCTGGCTTCGAGATTTTGAGCAGTACTTTGCTAGCGTGTGAGATGACTGCAATTGTGCAGTAGTTTGAACATTCTTTGGCATTGCCTTTCTTTGGAATGGGAATGAAAACTGACCTTTTCCAGTCCTGTGGCCACTGCTGAGTTTTCCAAATTTGCTGACATATTGAGTGAGGCACTTTCACAGCATCGTCTTTAAGTATTTAAAAAAGTTCAGCTGGAATTCCATCACCTCCACTAGCTTTGTTCGTAGTGATGCTTCCTAAGGCCCACTTGACTTCATATTCCAGGATGTCTGGCTCTGGGTGAGTGATCACACCATCATGTTTATTTGGGTCATGAAGATCTTTTTTGTATAGTTCTTCTGTGTGTTCTTGCCACTTCTTCTTAATACCTTCTGCTTCTGTTAGGTCCACACCATTTCTGTCCTTTATTGTGCCCATATTTGCAGGAAATGTTCCCTTGGTATCTCTAATTTTCTTGATGAGATCTCTAGTCTTTCCCATTCTATTGTTTTCCTCTATTTCTTTGCACTGATCACTGAGGAAGGCTTTCTTATCTCTCCTTGCTATTCTTTGGAACTCTACCTTCAAATAGGTATATCTTTCCTTTTCTCCTTTGCTTTTCACTTCTCTTCTTTTTTCAGCTAGTTGTAAGCCTCCTCAGACAACCATTTTGCCTTTTTGCATTTCTTTTTCTTAGGGATAGTCTTGTTCACTGCCTGCTGTACAATGTCATGAACCTCCATCCATAGTTCATCAAGCACTCTGTCTATCAGATCTAATCCCCTGCATCTATTTCTCACTTCCACTGTATAACCATAAGGGATTTTATTTAGGTCATACCTGAATGGTCTAGTGGTTTTCCCTACTTTCTTCAATTTCAGTCTGAATTTGGCAATAAGGAGTTCATGATCTGAGCCACAGTCAGCTACCAGTCTTGTTTTTGCTTCTGTATAGAGCTTCTCCATCTTTGGCTGCAAAGAATATCATCAATCTGATTTCGGTATTGATCATCTGGTGATGTCTATGTGTAGAGTCGTTTGCTGTGTTGTTGGAAGAGGGTGTTTACTATGACAAGTGTGTTCTCTTGGCAAAACTCTGTTAGACTCTGTTAGACTTCAAGGCCAAACTTGCCTGTTACTCCAGGTATCTCTTGACTTCCTACTTTTGCATTCTAGTCCCCCATGATGAAAAGGACATTTTTTGGGGGTATTAGTTCTAGAAGGTCTTGTAGGTCTTCATAGAACTATTCAATTTCAGCTTCTTCAGTGTTACTGGTTGGGGCATAGACTTGAATTACTGTGATATTGAATGGTTTGCCTTGGAAACAGATAGAGATCATTCTATCGTTTTTGAGATTGCACCCAAGTACTGCAGTTGTTGACTATGAGGGGTACTCCATTTCTTCTAAGGGATTCTTGCCCACAGTAGTAGATATAATGGTCATCTGAATTAAAGTCACCCATTCCAGTCCACTTTAGTTCACTGATTCCTAAAATGTCGATGTTCAGTCTTACCACCTCCTGTTTGACCTCTTCCAATTTACCTTGATTCATGGACCTAACACTCCAGATTCCTATGCAATATTGTTCTTTACAGCATCGGACTTGACTTCCATCACCAGTCACATCCACAACTGGGTGTTGTTTTTGCTTTGGCTCCATCTCTTCATTCTTTCTGGAGTTATTTCTCCACTCTTCTCCAGTAGCATACTGGGCACCTATTGACCTGGGGAGTTCATCTTTCAGTGTCATATCTTTTTACCTTTTCATACTGTTTATGAGGTTCTCAAAGCAAGAATACTGAAGTGGTTTGCCATATACCGAAGTATATGCTATTCTTTTTCATATACTTTTCTATTATGGTTTATCATAGGATATTTAATTCCCTAAGCTATATAGTAGGACTTTGTTGTTTATCCATTCTATACATACTAGTTTTCATCGACAAATCCCAAATTTCCAATCCAACCCTCCCCCAGTCTCCCAGCCACCCTTGGCAACCACAAGTCTGTTCTCTAAATCATATCATTCTTGACTGATTTCTCACAAAGGGGACAAAGAGCCTATATAGGGCTAATAAGGAGATAGCAGAACCTTCTTAGTGGTTGTGAAAAATACTGGTTTAAGAAGCCTTAGGAAATGGCAAGGATAAAACTGGCATACATTTTAAATAAAATATCCAGAAATAAAGATTTATAGGATAGAGGGAGTAGAAGAGTTTCCTTTTTTTTTTCTCGCTTAAAGGATAACTGTTCTTTGTGTCCAACCAGATGCAACTGCATAGAGTTATAAGGATAAACAGGTTGCAAGAAAAGGCTGGAGCCCACCACCTAGAACAGATGTGAACAGTTCTGGTAGCAAAACGGACCCCCTCCTCCCTTCTGTGCTTTAATGTGTGCATTAACAAATAGTTCTGACTCAGCCAGAGAGGGGCCTTGTGAGTGTGAAATGTCCATGTGTTACAAATCTGAGAGAGCCTCATGGTTACAGTTAGTCTAGGGAAGTCCACAGCCTCCCTTGTCAACCTAAGCCCCAAAGGACTGTGTCTCCATGTCAACCCTTATTCTGACGTAGTTCTGCCACTTTCTAATTCACCCAAGGAACGCATTTTCCCCTAAGAGTCCTATCAAACCAAGAACCAAAGGAGAGAGCTCAGATTTTCTTTAATGTGAAACAAATGAACTTGATTTTAACTTGCCAAATTAAATTTTAATTTTAAGTTGATTTTAATGAGGGACTTCAGTCCCAAAACCCCCTACCCATAGGATTCTCTGCTTGGGACTTGACAAGCCCTCTGTTCTAATTCCTGCCTCTCATTGTCCCCCTGTTCCTGGACTGATTGTAAGTCCAGGGGACTCAGTCCTGCCAGGGCTAAGAAGCCAGCCACCCAATCACGAGGCACCCTGCTGTCCCAGGGCAGGCTTGTCCCCTCCAGGAAGGGGCCCTCCCTCACTGCCCCTTCCCTTCCTTCCTCTCTCTTCATCCCCTTCTTCCCACACTCCAACTCTGTGACCCAGGTCCATGTGAGTCCACAGCATAGTCATAGCCCTAGGAGCCTGGGTTTTTTCTTAGTTGAATTGATGAGAAATAATCGCACCCCTTGGCCCTGAGCTTCCCCTTGACTTGGTTCCAGAGTTGGAGTTGGCTGCAGAGGGGCACAGTTTCTGCTTCAGCCCCGGGTTTGGGGGGAGTTTGTTCTAACTGTTCTGGGTCCGGGAGGAGACACCTTAGTCCTGATGTTTTTCTTAGCCTGACCTCGGGAAAGCCCCATCCTCATGGTGGCAGGAAGTCTTCCCAGGAGCCACTCTCAGAAATGCTGGGGAGCTAGCTGCTGAGGCAGATGAATTGGTTGGAGTACTAGATCTTTAAAGCAGCACTGACATCAGCAGACCTGGATGAGAAGGGGTGGAGCCCAGGCATCTACACTATTTAGGAATTCCCAAGTGATTCCGATGCATTTGAGGGGAATCAGGGGTGGAAGTGGAAGAGGGGGGACTGCAGGAAGAAGGTGCAATGCCTGTGCGCAGAAGCTGCTTTGGGGTCCGGACCTTGGTGGAAGCCTGGGGGCTGGGTCCTACTCACCTCTCCTCTAGCAGGAACTCCACTTCCAGCTCCTCCATGCCCTGCAGGGGGAGGAAGAGACTGCAGTTGTGAGCTATGTCTGCACTTCTCTCTAGACCAGGATCCTTGCTACCCCAGGAGACCCTGCAGACATGTTCATGTCCATCCCATTTGGTGGTTCTGCTGTCTTAGAGTGGGGGCAGCTGCTCTTGACTCTTTTTGTCCCCCTTGTCTCTCTCTGTCCCCAAGTCTTTTTATCATGAACATCACTGACCACCCAGAGGAGGTCAGGATATGGAGCTGACCCTCAGCACCAGGAGGTAAATCCCTTTGCCTTTCATCTTCTCCCTCCAGCTTCCATCATTCTCCGGCTTTCCCAACAGGATCACTGTTTGGAGCAAGGGAGAGTTGAGATGCTGCCCCCGACAAGCCCAACTCTGAAGGCTAGGGGCCCCTGCTTTCATCTTCTGCTTTGCATCTCTTGCTGGGTAACTTCAGGAAGTCATGATTTCATGGGACCTTAATTTCCTCCATGGAGCATGAGCCAGGTGAGCTCAGGGATGCTCGTCCCCTGAAGTGTCCAGGTGCCTGGAACAGTGCCTGCCCTGTGTGTGTGTGTGTCTGTATGTGTGTTAGTCACTTAGTCATGTCTGACTATTTGTGACCCCATGGACTGCAGCCCACTAGGTTCTCCTCTCCCATAGGGCACTCAAATGTTTGTTGGGTGAATCAATAACATCCTGGGCCTTCCTGCAGATTTGCCCTCGTTTGCCTTGTCTGTCTTCTGTCCCCTGAGGCCATCCCAGTAGCAGGGTTCTGAGTGAAGAAGGGAACCAACATTTACTACATCTCCATTTAGTACTCTGAATCGGGCTTGTTGTTGTTTTAGCTGCTCAGGAGTGTCTGACCCTTTGAGATGCAACCCCATGGACTGTAGCCCAGGCTCCTCTGTCCATTGGATTTTTCAGGCAAGAATACTGGAGTGGGTTGCCATTTACTTCTCCAGGGGATCTTTCCAACCCAGGGATCAAACCTGTATTTCCTGCATTGACAGGTAGATTCTTTACCACTGAGCCACCTAGCCACTGAACAGTGCTAGGTGCCTTAATTTTGTATTCCCGTTTAAGCCTCACAGTGACCCTGTATGGTAGATATTATTATCAGAAGAGACAAGGAAATAGAACTCAGAGGAATTAAATCTACAGGTTGCACAGCCAGCAAGCCAAAGCGCTGGGATTTGCGCAGCAGCACTATCTTCTCTTCACTTGGCTACAGAGAGAAGATCCCGTAAAACAACATCTTAGGAATAACCAGCTTCCCCTCGCGAGGCAGGAGGCTGAGGGCCAGGGCACCCACACCCACCTCTGTGTTGAGCGGGAACTTCACATGGGTTTTCTTTCGGAAGCAGAGCTTGCTGAGGTCGTAGAGAACTGTCAAGAGGTGGTCATCAGGTGTCACTGTGTCTTCATCACAGACACTCAGCTCTAGAACATTCTAGGGGAGAAGGGAGGGTGTGAGTCTGGTCACCGAGGCTGCATCCACCCATTCTCAGGATGAGGGGCCTGACCTCAGTCCTGGTGAGTAGGTGGGTCTGAGGGATGGGGGCGAGCATAGCTCAGGTGTGAGGGACATTTGTAGGGACATGAATAAAGGGAAAAATGAAAGTGTTAGTTGTGTCTGACCCTTTGGACTGTACCCCACCAGGTTCTTCTATCCATGTGATTTCCCAGGCAAGAATACTGGAGAATTCTTCATTCAGTCATTCATTCCCTTCTCTAGGGGATCTTCCCGACCCAGGGGCCGAACCCAGGTCTCCCGCATTGCGAGCAGATTCTTTACCATCTGAGCCACCAAGGAAGCCCTGGATTAAGGGAGAAAAGTGTCTATTCCCTCCTTGGCAACTGTCTGAGGCCTTCCTGCCCTTCTTCTCTGATTCTCCTACTGGGGAATTTTGCTCTTTTGTAAGCTTGGCAGGGGCCTGTGAAGTGTGAGGGATTTCATTTCACATGGGGGAAGGATGGAAGGACACAGCAAGCAAGATATTTGCCAAGATATAGCATGTATCCAGTGCTGGGACCCAGGAGCTGAAGACAGTTCCTTTGGCACAGAAAACTCAGTTCAGGGATGCCATTCATTTTCACACTCCAGGTGGCGTGGTGTGGCAAAGATTACAGAGGCTTTGATTGGGTTGGGGTGAAGTGTTGGAGCTCTATCCTTTGGCTCATCAGTCCCTAAGTGAGGTCTCACGGGTGGTCTCAAAGCAGAAGGTCAAGGGTGGAGCAGCTTACCCTGTCATCTGACTGAACTCTGAGATGACTTAGGTAACTAAGATTAGCCTCTGGATCAGCCTCTGAGGCCTCTTGTTCCAAGGATCCTGGGAGATGTAGGTTGGGGCTGGATTTGCCTCTTTGGTCCCTATCTAGTGGACCTGAGATGGTTCTGGGGCTTCCCAATGAGTGGGATCTGTTGACTTTGTAATTGCTAGATACCAGGTGCAGGACGTCACTGGTGGTCCAGTGGTTAAGACTTGATGCTCCCAATGCAGGGGGCGTGAGTTCAATTCATGGTCAGGGAGCTAAGATGCTACATGCCACATGGTGTGGCCAAAAAAAAAAAAAAAAGAAGAAGAAAAGGAAACCAGGTGTGTCCTAGAACCAACCCAGTGGCCCCAAAGATCTACAGAAAAAAGAAACATAAATTCTGGTTTCAAGATGGTATAGCTCATACTGAAACTCCCCCTTTCTCACCAAAAATATTATATATGATAGAAAAGGCATTTTTAAAACAGTAAATATAAAACTCTACTTGAAAACAAAACGGATATGTCATGAGCTGAAAAAGAAGATGCATTCCTAAAATATGAAAGTGGTAAGCTGGATAGAGCTGTCAAGCCTCAGATGCTTCAGGACTGGCTCTTGATGCCTCCATGATGAGGGTAAATTTATCTGAAGGGCACCCTGGGGCAGCTGTCACAACTCAGGATGTTCAGGACAGGACTCTCCCACAGGAGATGTGAACTCCATGTAGAGTCACATATATCTGAAGAAGGCCTGTACCATGAATCAGCAACTCAACAAATGAAAGAGCACACACCCAAGGCATTAGAAGTAAATTAGCCATCCAAAAAGGATTTACAACAGTGAAAGCCCTCTGTTTGGGATTAGACTGGCCTCAGACCTACTGAGTAGATTGGCTCTTTGTATCCTGCTGCTTGGCGTATGTTCTGGAAACACACTCTATTTGGGGGCAGGAGACAGTTCCAGTGACAATTAGGGAGAGGGATAGAGAAATAGGAAAGACAGTAGAAGGATAAGTATGCCCAGAGGGACAAGAATGAGACAGGCAGAAGAAAGGAGTGGGTGAGTGGGGAGACATAGGACAAGAAGTCGGTAGAAAGACAAATAGGCGTGAGAAGGCCGCATGAACAAAGAGGACAAGCAGGCAAGGAGGGAACAGACCGGCAGGCAGGGTGGGCAGGTGCTGTCCCCAAGTCTCACCTTCACTTGGCTCTGGATCTGGAAGCTGAAGGTTTCATTCCATTCTGGGTTTCGGCAGTTGGAGATGGTCCTAGTCCTCAGCCTCTTTTGACTGGCGGTGGGCAGCCAGAGGCTCACGAAGCAGTCTGTCAGGCTCACTGTCCGAGGAAGACAAGGGTGAGGGGGTGAGGAGCCAACTCAGGTCTGAAGAGGAGAGAGTGTGGAGGCAGAAGCCAGAGTGAGGCCTCGTCTCAGCTTCAGGTCGCCTCTTGACTCACGGCCCTGACTCTCCAGAGACCTTTGTCCCAGAACCCTGAGACGGTCATGGACTGCAGGCTAGAGGTTCAGAGGGGACACAGGCCCCCCTGCCCGTTCTTAAGAATGGAGATGGCCTCTGGCTCTTCTCAGAAGCACCCTGGCTCTTGTTGGTTTGGGACAAGGTATGGCTGTGACTGTGCAGTTTTCTTGGCTTCCGTGGTGCTCAAACAGTAAAAATTGCAATGCAGGAGACCTGGGTTCAATCTCTGGATCAGGAGAATCCCCTGGAGAAAGAAATAGCTACCCACTGTAGTATTTTGCCTAGAGAATCCCATGGACAGAGGAGCATGGAGGGCTATAGTCGATGGGGTCAGAAAGAGTCAGACACGACTGAGCGAATAACATACACACACACATGACTGGGCAGTTTTCTCTCTGCCAGGGGGCGATCTGAAGGACTAGCCACACAGAGGTCAAGTTTATCTCTTGCCTTAGCCCAGGGCACCAGGGAAGCCAAAGTAAGGCTCAGCTCTGGGCTGCGGAGAAGCAAGGATTAGAAGGGACACCATCTACTGGGAGTCAGCCCCAAGGCCCAGTGGGGACAGCCTGGAGCAGAACAGGCTATTCAGCAGGATCTAGGGACAGGGAATGCAAACTTCACGTGACTGAACATCTCAGATGCACCCATCTGGGCTCTTTGTATCTATACTGGTCTCCCCACATGGACTGTGTGGCCCAATAAACTCTCATACCTAAGACCACATACTTTATTTTTCATTCAAAAGAACAACCTGACTGTGGTGCTGCTGTGTGTGCTCGGGAGAAGGACAAAGGCTGTGACCCCAACAGGCTCTCCTAAAGCTAAAGGTCTCCTGGGTTTTCTCTTTGAAGCAGTGGCAGGCATAGGGTGAAAAATGGCACAGAGATAGGAATAGGGTGAAAACCCAGCATCCTGGCACCATTCCACCTGGGAGGAGGGAGGAAGAGGTCCACGATGGCCCTTGTCACTCTTCTGGCAATCTGCTGGGGGTAATTCCCAGGACACCCACCAGATACACAGAGAATGGGAAAAGTCAATACAGTTTCCAGTGTTAGAGAAGCTTCTTCTAGATGATACAGCAGGGCAGGGATGGGAGTTCTGTACTGATAGGACTGATCCAAACTAGTTCCTAATTATAATTAATAATGTCCTGTGAGATTGGAACCAGGGGTGACCCCTCCCCACCAGACTGACTTAGTCCTATATTGTTACTACACTGAGAATTTCGTCAGACCTAATAACCATGGCTTGCATCATGAGCACCCCTGGTTTCTGATTTCATCCCTTCTGTCTGGTTAATCTTTCAGGCTAATCTTTCACCATTCAATGAACTGGAATTCATGGCCTTCTGCCCATCAAATAGAGGTGAGATAACACTGTCTTTAAATGTCATAATCATCATTAACCCAAACACAGCAGAATCAAAAGAAAATGATGACATCATTGTACCATTCCTTCCATGCCCAACTTGTTCCTCCTCACTGTGAACTCAGGTGTCCTGACTAGACTCACATTGAGTCGATTTAACTCCTTGGTGTTCTCCAGCCTGTCCACTTCTCCCTACTTGCATGGCCACTGCCTTGGTGCAGGCCATCTTCATCTCTGCCATCTCTTCATCACTGCCCCACTGGGAACCCTGTCTTCTGTCCTGCCCCATCCTCCTCTTTTCTCTCTAGAGAAACCAAAGGGCTCTCTTCCCATTTGTCACTCCGCAGTTTAAGATCCTTCAGTGGCTCCCTGCTTTCAAGAAGTCCCACCCGCTCAGCACGGCTACCCCCTCCCACTTCCCCAGCCTCACATCCTTCTCCCTATCATCCCAGCCCGGCCCTGTCTGCAAACACACACACACACACACACACACACAGAGGCATTCACATATGCATGCACACACACACTCTTACATGCATGTGCTCACACTCAAACTCTAAACTCCCGCCAAACCCAGTGCCCTGTAGGTCTCAGAAGGCCATGCCGTCTTGCCATGAACACCCTCCTCTTCCTCTTTCACACTACCCTTCCTCCACCCTTTCAGGTACAGAAGGGACTTCCCTCTGGAAGCCTTGCTGAAGCCCCCAAGTCTGGGCCAGGTGCCCTCATAGCCCAGAGCCTTCTGCTCTTCTCCTGATGGGGCACTGGCCAGTCTGTACCACAGTGACGGGTTGGTGCGTGTGTCTCCACCACCCCCTGAACCCTGGGAAGCCCAGTGTTGGCACCGCTGGATATTTGTGACTAAATGAATGAGAGAAAACCTCAACTTTCTGCTCTTGGGCTATATCAGTAAACCCAGAAATTCTGGGCTGAGTCACCACAGATATAGATAGATAAGTTGGCATGTCTAATGGCTCTGTTCAAAGGGAGACTCCTTGGGGACCTGCTCAGCCCTCCTGGGCCCTCCCTTCACTTTTCCTGGACTCCAAGGCCCCTCCTCTTGGCCTGTCTCCTATGCAGGGGGAGCCTGCAGGCAGGGACCCCACAACCCTACACCCACTTGCTTAGCACAATTTCACAAACCCTGGAAAGGCCCCTTTTCCTCTAAGATTCCTTTTCTGTCACCAGTCAATGCCTAAAATTGTCCCATTAAATCCACTGGGCTTCCCTGGTGGCTCAGATGGTAAAAAATCTGCCTGCAATGCAGGAAACCCAGTTTTGATCCTTGGGTTGGGAAGATACCCTGGAGAAGGAAATGGCAACCCACTCCAGTATTCTTGTCTGGAGAATCCCTTGGACAGAGGAGCCTGGTAGCTTACAGTCCATGGGGTTGCAGAGTTGGACTCGAAGGAATGACTGACATACACAAATCCACTGAAGTCTCAGAATTTTTGACCTAAGGCTTAAATCTCTAATTAAAAAAAAAAAAAAAAAAAACTCGTGGAAGAGCCAGCATTGGTCATGTCAACCATAAATTTTTTTCCCAGTCCTTTTGCAGAGAGCCATTCTGCCTGTCCCCTCTAAGGTTGGGAAGGAGAGTGCAGCCCAAGAGAGGTAATCCTGGGGAGGGAGGATTGTGGAGGGAGGCTGCCAAGCCCAGATGACAAGCTGCGGCATCATGAGCTGACTCTAAGGTAGTGGCAATTAAGAGTGCTTAAGCAAGGATGACCCAATTCTGAGAACTTTGGGGAATTTCCTAAGCACACATTGGTTCTAACCTTTGTTCCTCATGAAGTGAAAAAGGGCTTGGTTGTCGGAATGACATATCTCTTTTTCCGGAATGTGGGTGGCCAAGATGACTTAACCATCTCTACTGATATCAAGAACATTATCTTCCTTAGAGACACCCACCTCACACCTCTTGGGCTGCTGGTTTGAATTTTAATTTATCGTCCCGAGAGGAATAAAAACTCTGGACAGCTGCAAGATTTCCAGGCCAATTCTCTTGCAGCCCTGACCCAGCTCCTTGATGAGGGATCCACCCCAGAATCTCATCCCTTTGGGGCTCCTGGAAATCTTAGAAACTTAGGCGCCTCTTACAGGACTGAACCACAGAGGAGCTCATTTTTTATCTAAGCCAGGAAGAATGATTTGGGGTGAAGGTGACCCAGGACCTGCAAGATGTCAGGATAGTCTCAACCCAGGTGAGGCAGAAACAGAACCCAGCCCATGACAACTGTGAAACCAGATACAGTGTGACCTGGGCTGACACCCCCAGACACCATGACTGCCCCCAATTCTGTTCCTCAGGGAAATGAGGAAAACATAGACATGTTCCAAAGGGGACCAGGTACCCCTAAAGGGCAGCCTGTGTACCAGAGGCACATGTGGGGAAGACAGAGAGGAGGTGGTGGGCCAGACCTTAGCCCGTTTCTCTGGCTGCCTGCTCCCTACCTCACCTCCACCCCTGGGGCCCGCAGGTGATGGGTGTAACAGGAAGGGCCCTGGATGGTGGGAGGGTCTGAGAGTACAGGTATAGGCCTGCCCAAGAGTGTGAGGCCCGCATGACACGCAGGGTGGGGACAGAGCCACCTCTAGAGGAGCCAAGGCAGGTGAGGCCACTGCAGGCATGTGAAAGTTGTGACTTGTCCCCAAGGGGTGTGGGGTGAGGTGTCTGATGACCCACCCTAGCATGGAAATGAAGGCAAAAGAGGCAACCAGGCTCCGGATCCAGGGGACATTTCCAGGCTCCTCATATCACTTACTGGTGGCCTGGGAGGCCCCAAGAAGCCCAAGAAGTCCCTGGCCCCCTGGCCGACCTGGGAATGGAGCCATGCTGGCTGCAACTGATGACATGGGCTCTGGACATTCACCCTGCCAGGGACGGGGTCTGAATCCTTCCTGGTCCCTTTGTTCTCTCCCGGGATGTAGGGCCCTCCCTTCCCCACCTCCACACTCATCCTTGCATTGCAGTGTTGTGGCGACAGTTTTGCAGCAGACTGTCAGCCTTTTCCCAATACTCCTGTGCCATCTGCACAGAAGCCCTTGGGAGGTCATGCAGTCCCTGCCTCAAGGACTAGGGTGCCACTTAGATTCTCATCCATCCTCTGAATAGCCCGGGCTCCTTCTCCTGGCTTGTCCTTCCTACCCCTCAGCAGGCCAGACCTGGGATCAAACACTGATTCTGCTTTAGGCAGTTAATCCTCATATACAAACGGGTCCCATAGCACTGCCCTCAGGTTGGGGAGGATGACTGGTTTCTGGCCCCAGGCAGGCCCCCAGCAGGTGCTGGGGGTGAAATGCAGGAGGAGCCCTCCCCCAGATTGGGCTCCCAGACCTCTGGATGCTCACACCTTGTCACCTCAGACCTCAGGCTCTCGAAGCAGCCTTCCTTAGCTACTCCCAATTTTGTGTCCTTTAAATCCTGTGGTGACAAGATCAGAATGCCATCCTCTATTAAAGAAAGTGAGAGTGTTAGGTGCTCAGTCAATGTTCCACTCTTGCAACCCCATGGAGTGGTAGCCTGCCAGGCTCCTCTGTCCGTGGAATTCTCCAATCAAGAACACTAGAATGGGTAGCCATTCCCTTCTTGGGGGGATCTCCCTGACCCAGGGATCAAACCCAGGTCTCTTGCACTGCAGGCGGATTCTTTACCGTCTGAGCCACCGGGGACGCCCGCCACCCTCTATTTCCGCTCCATGTGATTGCTTTGCGTATAGATGCCTCCCGTCGTGTCGGGCTCTCCCAGCACAGCCGGGCCCCAGGGTGACGGCAACATAAGGGAGCTTTGGGGAACCTGGAGCCCTTGGGCCATTCCTGTGTGGTTGCCAGTAGGTGGGGACCCCCTCAGTCATGGGCCCTGACACAGAGCTTTCTCCTCCTTGAGGGCCAGGCTTCCTCCCTGGATGGTGGAGAGATGAGGGCAGCATAGGGAGGGGCTTCTGTTCTACCCACCCAGATGCCTTCATTTCTTCCTGAAACCAGAGACTTCCCTGGCCCCTGGGGCCTGGGAATGCAGTAGGGCCCAGGATGGAAGGGACATTAAAGTAGCAAGAAGACCCTGCACAAAAAGCCCTGGCGAGTCAACCACATCCCCGGGCTGAACTGCAGAACTGGGGCCCCTGGCATGCACTGTCGGGCCCATTTGGGATCCGGGTCCTGAGAAGAGCACTGCGGCTGACTGGCTCCATGGTCCCCAAGGGCCTCCCCTTCCCTTCCATCCCAACAGCCCTAAACCCATGCCCAGGGTGGGGGAAGCTGACTCCTGGAAGGGGTCCCAGGGAGGGGAGAGTGGGGAGGAGAGAGTGAGGTGGACAGCTGAGCGAGGACTGCAGGGGCTGCTTGTGCCAAGGATGCAGCTACAGGGAGGGGCCTGGAAAAATGATACAAACCTCAAAGTCTGAAATGCAACTTGAATACAGAACACACAGAGATACACATATGCACACACACGCACACACACACACACACACACACACACACAGGGCAACCCCTGACCATTTCCCCTCTAGGCCTGTCTCCATCCTGGCCCCAGAAGTAGAGAGGAGGGAGGGAAGGAGGGGGAGACTCACCCACATCAGCCTGTCGGACGTTCTTCATGCGGATGACCCTCACTGTCAGCAGGTGGCATGGAGACAGCCCCTCCTGTGGATGGAGAGGACACGGGACTCACTCTTCATGCAGTGGTGGCAGGTGGCCTTGGCGGAGAGAGCAGGTCAACCCGGCACAGGCTCCCACTGCCCAGACTCCAGTAACCTCTCCCCTCGGACCATCTGCAGTCTGGAGAATGCTTCTGGTCCCCAGGGGGTCCAAGGCTCTGGAGGTGAGGGGCCTTGTCCTTGGTCCTCTCTGAGCCAACAGACCCCAGAGGAAGGACAGTTTCATGCCTCTTCTATCCTTGTCTTTCCTATTTGGATCTTGGAGTTGGAAGCCCTTTTCCTGAGCATTTTACCAAAGCTTAGAGGAGTCTTTTTTTTTTTTTTTAACTGGAGGATAATTACAATCTTGTGATGATTTTTGCCACATATCAACATGAACCATCCCTAGGTATACATATGTCCCCTCCCTCTTAAACCTCCTTCCCCATCCCATCCTTCTGGGTTGTCATGAAGTACCGCCTTTGGGTTCCCTATGTCATACAGCAAATTCCTACCGTCTATTTTACATACAGTAATGTATATGTTTCAATGTGACTCTCTCAAATCATCCCACTCTCTCCTTCCCTCACTGTGTCCAAAAGTCTGTCCTGTATATCTGCATTACATGAGTCTTTTTACTGTCCACTTATAGCCCGTGCCCATGGCAGACACCATCAGACTCCTCCAACCCACCCAATGATGTTTATAGAGGCCTCTGAACTGGAACCCTTTACACTCTGAGTCATTCACTCCATGCTACAAGAGACACCTTCTACTCTTTTCAGAAAATGCAATTCTTCTCTCTGAGAGTGTGAAGAAAAAAGAGTCCCCAAAATGCCAATACTCTGAGAAGATCACTATGTATAAATATTTTTATTTTCAACTCAGACTGTCCACAGATAGTTCATCTGCCTTGACTATTGTCAGATAATATTTGTAATATAATCTACTGAACACGTACTCTAATAGGGGCAGGGTGGGTACAGTGGGAGACTTTGATCTTGGCCGGTGAGACGTCCCTTTCAGTTGGCCTTGCAGGGGTCCCGGGGCAGAGAGTGCAGTGCAGGCTGATCATGGCCTTCTCCCCAGGGCCTTCCAGCCTCAGGCCAGTGGGTGATCTGGGGGCCGGGGACAGTCAGGTTCAGTCCTTGAAGCAGCAGCAAACCTCTCCCTGATCCCCCCCCTCCAAGCCCTAATGGTGGTAGCTCTCTCCATCGGTCACAGTCCAGGGGACCTGCCCTCATTTGGATGTGCTGAGGAGCCAGAGGCCCAACTGGGTCCTGGGTGCCTGGCTCCCTGAGTGATGTCACCTGGACAGTGCTGGGGACCTGGCCCTGGGGGAGCCACCAGCTGACATCTGCCTCCACAATTGAGCCTCTCACTGTGGGAGGACCTAGCCTGGGTGCTGGACAAATGCTCCCAAGCAGGGTAACTGGCCTGCCTAGGGAGCTTCCACCTCTTAGCAGAGTCCGGACCTCAGAGAGGAAGAGATGAGCCTTGAGACCTTGCCCTTTCTTGTCAGAATGGAGGATAATATTTGTTTTTAACACCAAAAACATTTTGTACTGGGGTATAGCCAATAAGATAGCATTTGGTTTGGTGGAGATTTACAGGAACACTGTGACCTGACCATGACCTGACCTCAAGAACAAAGGCACATATATACAATGGAATATTACTCGGCCATAAAAAAGAATGAAATTGTGCCATTTGCAGAGATGTGGATGGACCTAGAAACTGTCATACAGAGTGAAGTCAGAAAGAAAAAACAAATATATTTATGCATGTATATAGAATCTAGAAAAATGGTACAGATATTTGCAAAGCAGAAATAGAGACACACTCTTAGAGAACAAATGTACAGACACCAAGAAGGGCAGAGGGGGTGGGATGAATTTGGAAATTGGGGTTGACATATATACCCTACTAGGTTTAAAACAGATAACTGATGAGAACCTACTGTGAGCACAGGAAATTCTGCTCACTGCTCTGTGGTGACCTAAATGGGAAGGAAATCCAAAAAAGAGGGGAGATATACGAACAGCTGCTTCACTTTTCTGCACGGCAGAGACTAACAGCATTGAAACACAAGTAAGCCCCAATTTAAAAAAAGGATCCGACACTAAAAAGTTTGCAACAACTAACCACTCTCCTTCCTCATCTTTCCTAAGAAAGGGCTTTGCTGAAAGCTTTTGGGGAGCTCAGGAGTTTTTAAGGCATGACGCATCTCCTTGCATGGCCCTGCAACAAACCTTTCTCTGTTCCAGACTCCAGCATTTTGGTTTTGTTTGGCCTCACATCAGGTGCACATTCATGCATCAGGTACACAGATTTGCATTTGGTAACATTACTATTGTCCAGACACTTCTCTTACAGTTTCTAATTTCATAAAACCTTTGTAATAGCAGTATTGCTGTCTTTTTAAAAATTAAATAATTGACATATAACATTGCATGAGTTTGAGGTATACAACATAATGTATTTGATGATATATGTGTTTAGTATTGTCATATGGTTGCCACAAGAAGTTTAGTTATCCATCATCACACATAATTAAAATTTTTTTTCTTGTCATGAGAACTGCTATTTTGATGTCTGTCCTTCCAGCCTCTACTGAGGCTTAATTTGTTCTTTTTTTCTTTTTATTTTTTAATTGAAGGATAATTGCTTTATGGAATTGTGTTGGTTTCTGCCAAACATCAACATGAATCAGCCATAGATATACATATGTCCCCGCCCTCTCTCTCTCTTTTTGATGTAGACCATTTTTAAAGACTTTTATTGAATTTGTTACAATATTGTTTCTGTTTGTGTTTTGGTTTTTTGACCAAGAGGCACAGGGGATTTTAGCTCCCTGACCAAGGACCGAGCCTGCACCGCTTGCACTGGAAGGCAAAAATCTTAACCACTGGACCACCAGGGAATCTCCTGAGGCTTCATTCTAACCAAGAACAATAGGACAATGACTGGGAAGGCTATTGCTTGGTCCCTGAGATCTACACATAAGTCAGCGTTAGGGCCTTTTCCTCCTCTTTCCCCAACAGCTGCCTCAAAGTTTGAATAAAGCCATACTGACAGTCACATACAGGTTTGAGGATTCTTTTTGTGAGATTAACTCTGAAACACTGAATATTTTCGTGGTCAATCCCTTGCTCTAATGGGATTGCCTTTTGAGCTTTGTCACTTGGACCAAAGGCTGCACATAGCACTTCCCTTCTGGTTCTGGAAATAAGACTGTGCCTTTGGCCAGACACCTTCCAGGCATGTGGGTCCTCGTGTGGGCAGAGCACGTGTCCTGGTCTGATCTGGGGAGGAGGCGGGAGTCAGCTTTCATCCAGGAGAGCAGCTCCGGTAAAGCCTGACCCACTTCTTCAGAGCGCAGCTAGAGGTCTCCAAGCCAAGGCCTCGGCCCAGGCAGGGGTCACTCCCCACTTCTCTGAACCCAGGAGCCCGGTCCTCTCAGCCACCACAGCCCTTCTCCTGCCTCCAGGAGGGGCTGTTCTTGGCCCTGCCCAGCTCCCTTGTGTCTTCCCTGGGAGGGAATGGGCATCCACAGCTTCCTGTAGGACCTCACTTGGGGTCTCCCTGCCTTCCAGGAAAAGCTGTCTGCTGTCATCTAACCCTGTACCTTCCGACGAAGTTGACCATTTCTTCTACTCTAACTCAGCACCACTAATCCTTACAGCACCCCTAAAGCAGTTATTATTAGCTTCGCTTTACAGATGGAGATTCTGAGCCTAAGTCCTTTGCTTCAGGCACTCAGCTCGAATCAAAGGAAATTGAGTTTGCATCCAGTTCTGATTTGTGTGTGTGTGTGTGTGTGTGTGTGTGTGATGTGGACCACTGCTGTTTTATATTTTGGCTTTTTGGCTATGAGGCATGTGGGATCTGAGCTTCCCAACCAGAGACTGAACCCATGTCCCTTGCATTGGAAGGCGAAGTTAAAACTACCAATGAGCTTTGTCACTGGTGGACCACTGGACCACCAGGGAAGTCCCCTAGCTCTAGTTCTTAAGCCTGTGTTCATAACTACGATTATATTGTCACCTTAAACTTGAAAGTGACCCTCGACAAACATGAAGACAGATGCTGCTTGCCCCAATCTTCTCTGAAAGTCTGTTTTCCTCGCAGATTTTTTGTTTCACCTTGAGTTATCCCAAAGCCCCCAAATAACCCCCACACACTGGCAGTCCTTCTACTTTCAGTATTCTTCTGACATATTCCATCATCCCTCCCTTTATCAAACAACCAGAGCATGTCAGAACTGTAAGAGCTCTTAAGAGAAGTTCCCACTTTCTAGCAGCCACAGAGGGCTGCTTTGTGGTCTGGAGCCTCAGCTTACACCTATAGCCCAGGAATTTTCAGGAGACACCCAGTTGCAAAGTACTCTGCATAGCACTCATCCATCTGCCAGCAGGTAGACACAGCCTTGAGGGTGTGAGAGAGAGCCCAGAGGGGCCGTGCTGGGAGGAAGGCAGCAGGAACACGGGACTCAGGTCTTAGGGCCAGATGATTCCAGGAATTAAGTCTATGAAAAATGACCTTCTGGGATTAAAGTGAGTGTACATATTTTACTCCTGATATAATTAGCTCAATTAGAGTGATGCTAGGCATACACAAAACTTCATGGTCCCAGAGCTAATGAACACACACTAGAAAGATGTGATAGATCAAAGGATAGTGTCTGTGACTATGGGAACTAGAAACTGGTGGGTTTATGGAACCCCAAGTGTATGGGGTGGCTTATGGGATCCGGGTAAGAATTTCAGGGGTTTGGACAAGCTTGTCCCTCTGATAGGATGTGCTAGCTGGGTATCAGAGTGAACGTTTAACAGCAGATTTGGCCAAGCACCAGCTAGTCTGCAGCCCAGGATCAGGGATGGGTGGTAATCCTCCAGCTCATGGGGGCACTGGAGGATCCAGGGACAGGGACCACAGAGCACTCAGGAGGTTGGAGCTCAAGGCAGGGACGATTTGGCACCCAGTGAAGTGTATTTAGATACTTTAACAACCAGGACCACTGTGTAGGGATGGGGGGCAGGGATGGGACTGGATGGCAGGTTTCTGGGACGCCATGGCTCAGGCTGTAGGCACACCTGGCTCCAGCCTCCTCCTGGCCTTGGTTTTGCCAGGACTCTATTTCTCCTGAAACCTCCTTAGGACAGGGGCATCTTGCCAGTTCATGTGGAAAAAAGCTTGACTCTCAGGATTGATTATTTTGCAATCCATTATTACCCCTTCCCAGCCCCTTACTTTATAGACAGGGCTTTGGTGGGGAGGTTGGGAACACAATTCATTACTCTTCTCTCATGTGCCAGGCTCTGCTCCACCTGGGGGCACTGTATCTGTTCTCCTCTAGGCCCCCTGCCCCAACGAGACTCTGAGGAAGGCACTACTATTCCTCTTTGCAGAGAAGAAGACCAAGGTTAAAGAGGTTGCATCTCAAACGGGGTCATACAGCCCAGAAGGGGCGGGGCCAGGACTCAGGTGTAGATGTACTTGGCTGAAGGGCAGGGCCCATTCCCTCCACTTGTAGGCTGGCCCTCACCGCGAATTAACCAACTCAGTTAATAGCTTGCTCCGGGCCATGCACTAGAGTAGTTAACAGCAGAGGCAGGAGTAAAATCCTCAGCTCTCATTTGGGGGCTATCATAACACCCCAGAAAACTAGCTGTCACCACACATTAGAAGAATATTTAGTTACAAGTGGGCTCCCAGGGTCTGGCTCCCAGGTAGGGGTGAGTTGGGAGGAGGGTATGACAACCATATTTCAGAAGTAGTAAGGATCAAGCCTACCCTAACCAAACCAGCCCACGAGGTCTGGGTGCTGAAGAGGGAAGACAGCTCCCTGGAAGCCTGTGGGAACTCCCCTCTGCAGGGCTTCTCAGGGCAGGGCTGGCTGGTGATGCCACCTTGCTGGAGAGTGGTTGTATCCATCAGTTTCCTGCAACACTTGTGTCAGAGCTCAGGACAGCCTGGTGGTAGCTTCCAGGAGGCAAGGACCCTCCCTAAAAGGAGAGCATGTGGATGGGGACTCTATGGGCCCCTAGAATGTTTCCCTGCTAGTCTGAGCAGCTCCCCAGACCACGTTCCTTTTTATCACTCAGACTAGGTGAGGGGTTAGGGCAAGAAGTCCTAGCTCTGAGTTATGGACCTCCCAGGACCTGAGAGGGAAGAGTGCAGCTCTCTGTCCCTTCTGTGGAGGTTTCTCCTCACTCAAGCTCCTGGAGGCTCAATGAGACAAGGGAGACAGGAGCACATGTGGACTAGAGGTTCTTTGAGCACCCCGGGGGCTGTATAGAAACAGCCCAGAAGGTGACATCCATCCTGGACTGGCCAATGGGGCACCGGGCACCACACAGCCTGGAACTTCCCTCCTGGGATCCTTGGAGACTGAGCAGGGTCTCCACCTCCCACCCCGAGGCAAAACACTTCCGGGGCATCGTTCATCTTGTTCCATGATCTAGTGTGGGCCGGGGGAAGGTCAACAGGAAGATGTCACTGCTGACAGTGCTTGCCATGGCATGCTGGTAGCAAACTGGGAGTCTGAGATGAGGTGGGAAAGCCCAGACAGAACTGGTCCAGAGCCCTGGAGGTTTGACCCATGAACCTGGGGTCTCCCTGAGAGCTGTTACATGGACCCAGGGGTCTCGACCACAAAACTAGGAGGGGCACTTCATGGCCAATGGGAACAGGTCAACAATGGCTCTGGTCTTCACCTGACACCACACCACACACTCACAGCAGGCAGTTCGGCAGGTCCACAGGGTGAAACCCTGCTCGCTGCTAGGAGTGGCCAAATGTGACCCATCCCCTGCAATGCTGAGCACTTCCTGGGTGCTGCTGGCCCCAGGACAGCCCTGAGCCACTCCCATGCATCTTGTCAAGTTTGTGGGTATCTGAAGCTGGGCCAGACTGTATCCCCAGTGCCAAGCAGGTGCTGCCCTAGCCAAAGTGCTCCGTGTCTCTGGAGTCTGCCATGATCCTAGCCCTCTCTGAGTGTGTCTCCTGCCCTCGGCTCCTGGCCCACCCACCCAGCCCTTTTCCCTCACCTCCAAGGCACAGGTGGCCGCCGGCCTGTCCCCGTCCTCTTGGCATGAGTCTGGTGGGTAGTGGGAGACCCAGATGGGCATCTGCTTCTGGAGCATCATGTGGCTCTGTAGCTGGCTGGTGAGATGGGGAATTTATACTCTGACTCAGAGCTCCGCCCTCCAGAGGATTCTCGGCAGTGGCTGGATTACTCTGGGAGGGGCTCAAGTTGGTAGACGGGTTGAGTCCTGGACCCAGGCCTCTTCGTATCAAGGGACCCTCAGGGCTTCAGATCCTGAAAATGCAGGGACCAGTAGGGTGAGCAGTCTGCTGCCCCCAGGAGAACAATCAGGCTGTCCAGTGGGCTAGGGAGTGGCAGGAAGAGGCTGATGGACCCTGCGGACCCCAGGATTAGCCCAGCCGCGTTTGGGGGATGCTCTGTCTCTGCAGCTTGTGAGGGTCCTGGCTCAGAGTTGCCATCTGGGGGATGCGTCCTCCCTCCTAACTCTACTTAGTCCCACGGCTCAGCACCCCAGAAGCTGTGGGCAGGGACCTCAGGAGAGGTAGGGACCGTGACCAGGACTCCAAAGTTAGAGGATGAGGAAAAGAAAGTAACTGCTCTAATCCTTGGTGATGAGGAGTTAAGGGCAAGTGCTCCCTGCCCTCCCTCACAGGAGGCCAACGGAGGGAGGGCGAGCCCAGCCCCTGTCTGGGCTCAGGGCAGCTTCAAGGATGCTCCCACCCCACCCGGCTGATCCTTATCTCTGTCCTGGTGGTTGGCTTACTTGGGGGACCTGTGAGGTGGCTTCGCTTGCTCGGCTGCCCAGCTGGGTACACTGGGAGTTTCCTGCCTGAGCTATCGCCTGGGGCCCCACAACCGGCTTTTCTGGCTCATGGATTAAAGTGATTGTATGAAACTCAGGGTGAATCTGAATGCAGGGCTGACTAGACTCGAATGCAGAGAGGGAACCTGGTTGGTGGTATCTGCGGAGCCTTCTCCTGTGCAGGAGGTGGACATCCCCTCACTGCTCCTCTCTGCCTGCCAGGCCCTCCAGAGGGGGATGGGGCCTTAGCTTGGACCCCTCCCAGCTTGCATCCTTGTCTGTTTTTGCCATCCCCCTCTGCCAAGGACACAAATTCACCATTCATACCCCTTGGTGAACTCTTGCTTTTTAGTCGTTAGGTCATGTCCAACTCTTTTGTGACGCTATGGACTGTTCCCTATCAGGTTCCTCTGCCCATGGGATTCTCCAGGCAAGAATACTTGAGTGGGTTCCCATGCCCTTCTCCAGGGATATCTTCCCAACCCAGGGATCGAATCCTGCATTGGCAGGTGGATTCTTTACTACCAAGCCACCAGACAAGTCTTTGGTAGATTCTACTATATTGGATTTAGTTCACAACATTTATTGAGCACCTACTGCATACACACTACTAAGAGAGGAAATCCCAGGCTTGAAGCTGCTGACAGTCCAGCCAGGGAGCCCAATGCTTTCAACCCCTCAGAAGCTCTGAGTTTGCTATGCTAACAGGGGGTATCCTAGAAGGAGCAGTATAAACCCTTCCCATTTGTAAACATCTGTGGTTTACAGAGCTAATAAACTGTGGTTTAGAGAGCACAGAAGCTGGAAAATGAGTGTAGGCTGGGAAGGGAAAGACTGGATGTGAGATGGCTTCATGGAGGAGGTGGCACCTGTTGAGTCTTGGACGATGGACAGGATTGCAATAGCTAATGATAGGTGAGAAAGGCATGCTGGGAGAAGGAACAGCATGAGGAGGAGGGAGGCCAGAAAGCAGGGTATGCTCAGGAATGTACGTGGTCTGGTATCAGAGTAGTGAGCTGTGTGGGAGGAGGTATAGGGGGTGAGTGGGATATGAAGGGTGGTGGAGGTTGGGCAGAGAGAAGGGAGGCTCTGTGGAGGAACAATCTGGAAAGATATATTAGGGCCCCATAGCTGCGACCTTTAAAATCTGTGCTTTAAGTTTGGACTTATTCTCTAGGCAATGGGGAGCCATAATGGTTTTTGAGCAAGAGAGTGACATGATCAGAGCTGAACTTTGGGAAAGCAATGCTGATTGATGTTGTGGACTATGCAGCCCACAGCACTGCAGTGTCCTGAACTTGATAAGGTGAGGGTTGTGGTGAGGGAAGGGCAAATTTTCCTCTTGAGGAGTCCATGTGCTGCGCATTCCCTCCACCCCCGCCCCCCACTTCACCATCAAACAGGCCCAGGGCAAGCCCCAGACTCCTAAGCAGTCCTCAATGTCCAGAACTTGAAGGAGCCTAGCCACCACCCTCCTTGCCTTCCCCCAGCTCTATCCAGCCTAGGCAGTATATGCAAAATCTGGCTCTCCAATCCTTGTATTTCTTCATTTGTCCATTAACTCCTCAAGAGCAGGGCCTCAATTAGGTTGAATGAAATAAAACTGAATAGGAGGCTAACAGGAGGGAGGGTGGAAGTTTCTTCCTCTGCACACTCTACACAGTCTCTGACCCAGGTGGGAGCTGTTACAACAGCAAAGAGAGCAGACCCACCTGCCAGCATGCACTGTCTGGCTCTGTGCTGACGGGGTGTGGTCAGGAAGGAAACAGTGAAGAATCGGTGATCTACTAAGAAGACAAGAGAGGGCTGAGTTAAGCAGCAAATCGACCATGTGGACTCTCAGTTGAGCAGGAGGAGGCAGAGGTCTGGGTGGGAATGGTGGGAGTGGGCTGGAAAGGCAAGCAGTGCCAGGCACAAGGCAATGTCCACACTACGGGTGAAGGGTGCCTAACTGCCTTCTCCAATCCAGGGTGTTTCTGAATGAGCATAAAGTTTAAGCTATGACAGTTTTCTTGGTACACTGCTGATGCTCCAGATCAAAGCCCCTGCACCCAGAGTTCCTTCCTGTGGAAAGTCTGACACCATCTCCGCACAAAGTGGAGGGGACTCAGTTTCTTTCTACCCACTGCCCTTTCTTCCCTGATTAGCAGAGAGCCTGAGATCTCCCCAGAGACCCCCAACCTGCTCCTCTGAACCCCTACCTCTGTCTATATCTGGGGTTCTTGTTCATTGACTCTTATTGATTGGGGTGACCAGGATCTGTCTTCACCAGCAGCCTCTTAGCTTCAGGTAACCCAGCATTGAAAAGTACATTCCTTCCGGTGGCTCAACTAACATCTCTCCCAGGAGAACTGGCAAGGATGAATTCTTCACTTTCCCTCTTTCAAGATACCTGGGAGCCTGTCCCTTCCTTCCCACCCCATCTGCAGCATTTGATTCTCAGCCTTCTGCCTCTCACAAGTTCCTCCCCACACACCTGGCTGACCAGTGACCTTTATAACTACCCCCCTCCACCTGCCATTCTACTGCTTAACTCATCTAATGCTCTTGTGTTCTTGTCAAAAATTCTGGATTCCAGTACTTTCCATAAGCCAAGTAGAGCCTAGAAACAACCCTATGTATGTATGAAATTTCATCATATGATGAAGGAAGTATTTTAAATCAGTGAGAAAAGGATAGACTATTCATTATTGGAAAAGTTAGCTGACCATTTGGAATAAAATAAAGTTAGTTATAACCACACAAAAATGAATTCCAGACAGATTAAATAGCCACACATTAAAACAACACTATAGAAGATTTAAAATAAAATATTAATATTAGAGAATGAGGAAGATGAAGAGGATTTTTCTAAACAAGGTATGAAAACTAGAAACCAATAGGGAAATGTGGTCGAATTTAAAAAAAGAGAAATGTAAAACTGGGGAAAAGCAAAAGAAGCCATAAGCACAGTTCTACCTCCAAAACGAATCCCAAATTTCTTCCTCTTAAGAAATATCTGTGGGTAACAAACTCACTTCTAAAAAATAATAGTCAAGAGAAGAGTCTCAGCCTGCTTGATACTAAAATAAACTATGAAGTCACACTAACACAAGCAGTAGGTTGTTGGTGTAAGAATAGAACCAATGGAACAAAATAGAGGAGTCAGAGATAGACCCTGACTTTAACGGAACTTAACGTAGGAGGAAATTGGCACCACAAGTCAGTAGAAAAAGAACAGATTAAGAGATGACATGGTCATGAATGGCTCTGTGTGTAATATAAAATAAAACAGCATCCCCACCCATCCCCATATAAAAAGATGGGCTGTAAATGGGTATATTCTTATAGCATAAGAAATGGAAAACTATGAAGTTAACAGAAGACAACATAGGAGAATCTATCCATGGTCCTGGGGATGAAGATTTCTTAAACATCACTTTGAATCCACCAACCACAAGGGAAAACATTTCTAAATTGGATTACATAAGAAGTAAGGGTTTCTCTCAACTAAGAACACAGAGAAATAGTTAATAGACAGCTGACAGAATAACAGAAGATGTTTTCAATGCAGTTGCAAATCACAAAAGGATTCGTGTCTAGTATATACAAAGAATTCTTACATACTTCACAAGAAAAAGATGGCCATGCCAACACAAAAAGGGAGTCAGAAACTTTCCTGATGGTCCAGTGGCTAAGACTCCCTGCTCTCAGTACAGGGGGCTAGGTTGAATCCCTGGTCAGGGAACTAGATCCCACATGCCCAACTAGGCCCCAGCTCAGCAAACTAAATAAATAAATATATTTTTAAAAAGTGAATCAGATTTGAACCTGCAATTTATAGGAGGGGAAAACCCAGAAAACTAACAAGCATTTTAGGAGATGTTCAAACCATTGGTAATGAGAGAAATTAAAACAACAATGAAATTTCACTGTAGCAATTATTCAACACTGAGAATGCTGAATAAAGATTGCCTTTCTTTGGAGAGAGAGGATGGGAAAGGATTTGTGGGCTCAGGGAAGTAACAATCAAAAATACAAACTTGGGGGACTTCCCTGGTGGTCCAGTGGCTAAGACCTTGTGCTCCCAATGCAGGGGTCCTGGTTTGATCCCTGGTGGAGGTACTATATCCCACATATCCCAACTAAGACTTGGTACAGCCAAGTAAATAAATATTTTTTAAAAAAGATAAACTCGGGGCTCACAGGCACCAAGGGTGATAGTAGGCCATGTCCTCAGCCCTCTGCACTCAGGTAAAATTTTTTTCCCTCCAGCCTTTCCCCAGAGTCACTATCACTGCTCTGGCCTGAGTAATTATCTCCCTCATCTCAACTACAGCTTCAGTC